AGGTGCACAGTGTAGGGGCCTAGAATGTAGACATGGGGGGCTGGAGAAGACCCTGTCACGGAGAAAGGGCTCTAAGCCGGACCTCAGAAGGTGAGATCACATGCATGGCTTTGTGGGTAATGAGCCATTTGCGGTGGGCCCTAGATTTCCACAGGAGAAGGTGGGATGGGGAAAGGCAGTTCCTGGCAGAGTTTGTAGAAAAGTCATAAAAGTAGCGGTGTGTGAAGAGGCTGCAGGGAATAGCAAGTAGCCCGTTTGGGTTTGGGGGTTCTGACCTTTGGGATGCTTGGAGACAAGGCTGGAAGGTGGGGAGGGGTATGAGAGAGGCAGTGGGAGCCCTTGACCTCAAGAGGCTTACAGTCTAGTTAGGGAGGCAAAGCCCCACAGTGCAGGGAGATGGTGGTGGGTGTCCAAGAAAGTGCTGTGGGCACTCTCAGGGCAAGGAGAGGTTAGCTAGTGGAACCAGATCAGGCTGCCCCTGGGAAGCAGACCTTGAAGAACATGTTGGTGTTGAACATGCCAAGATGCACAGAGAAGATTTCTTGGCAGAGAAGACCACACATGCAAAGGTATGGAAGCAGGAGCTTGCACCCCTTCCTGTATGGGTACTGGGTAGCCATTGGCGGTTCCTGAGCCAGGGGAGAGACCCAAGTTGGATCTGGATCTAGGGTGGATAAGAGGTAAAGGGAAGGGGTCTTGGAGGTAGGAGCACCCTTTTGGAGGCAGCTACACAACGAGATCAGGTAGTGATGGCCTCTGCAGCAGGTACATATGGGACCTATGGGGCGGTTTTCCTTTAAGTTGGGCCAAGGATTTTTGCAAGCTGCGATCTCATACATTGCCCTGCAGGGATGAGGGAGAGGGCCGGGAATGCAGTTGCAACCCAAGGCCTCACTGACCCAGGAAGATTTTTGTGGAGAGGCTGCCTAGGGCCAGTGGGGGCAAGGAGGGCCGCGTGTACTCACTCTCATGCCAGCCCCTGTCCATCAACTTGCCCCATTTAACCCCCCCAGCAGCCTTATGGGGCAGGTCCTAGTGTCATCCCCATTTTGCAGATGAGGGAAATGAGGCACAAAGAGGTAGAATGGCTTGCACTATTGCACAGCTAGGGTGTAAGAGGCCAGGATTTGAACATGCATCTCCCTGACACCAAAGGCAGCCTCTTAGCTATGTGTGAGGTTGCCTTGCAAAGGCTTTATTCAGTAGCCAAAGGTCCGAACCCTCCCAAAGGAAAGGATCAAGAGGGTCTCCCCGACCTCGTTGCCCTTCCTCACTCCTTGGCCAGGCTGCTATTTCAAGGTGAACTAAGGGACCCCAGAAATAAGACCAATGAACTGATTTATCAAGCACTTAGTCTGTGCCAAGCATATAGAATGTATTTATCAGATGTATCTAGGCCAGGTGTGTATATGATGTATTTATCCTGGCTCAGGAACCTGCAGTGGCTCCCCAGTGCCCTGGTCCAGTGGTCTTAACCTCATTTCACAGATGAGAACTTTGATGCTTAGAGCAGATATGTTGCCCATAACGGGATTTGAACACTGGGCTGCTGATTCCTGGGTCTGTATTATTTCTAAGACACCTCACTGCCTTCTGCACTGGCAGGAAGGGGTGAACCCCATGGCTTCAGAACTGGAACAGGAAAGTGGACCAACATGGAGCCCGCCCAGCCGCAGCCCTAGGGAAGCATCCAAGCTGGCTCTTCGTATATAAATCATGGTCTGTTTACTGAACAGGGAGTGTGTCTTTCCTCCTGGGGAGCTGCCCCAGGGTGGCTGCAGGTGCAAATAGGGTTGAATTCAGGATAGGGCCTTCTCTCCTGCCCAGCCTGACCGCTGGGTAACCTCTGGCCTGGAATGAAAGGCTTTCCAGTAAGTGCCTTGCTGGACTGCAGCTCAGTCATGTGCCAGGTGGGAATGGGGGTGGGAGACCAACCAAGAGAAGGATTCAGGAGCCTGAGAGCAGGGGCAGGAACTTGCCAACAAATCTCTTAGCAAGCTGCTTTCTCAGCTGGCCGCATAGAGCGTCCCCAGGGACGTCACAGGGCAGAGCTTGTCACGAGGAGCCCTGGCTGCCCTCCCAGCCTGATCTAGAGGAAGAAGGGCGCATGGGGTGAAAACACCAGGGAGCCCAGGGCAGGATTCAGAAATCAGACACTGCGGCTGCCTGTCCCCTGGCCTTGAAGGACACACAGCCTGGTCCTCTCTTGATCCGTAACTGATCCGAGTGGGTGGGGTGGGGTGGGTAATCAGATCTGCAACTGTTTTCACAGAGAACTGAGCGGCCCTGCCATGCCCCATGTGTGAAAAACATTCCACTTGGCTTGGGGCCAGGCCAGTCCCCCCTTGGTCTAGACTTGAGCGTGTCCCATCCCCTCTCTGAGGTCTTCGTCTATGACAATGAAGGGGTAGGGGCAGCAGGATCCCCCAAATTCCTCCAGGCCCTTCAAACGTCTGGTTTGAGGTCCTGTGATAGAACAGGAAGGGGCCTGAGCTGCAGCCAGGAGCGCGGACACCAGGCCTGCACCCTGTGTGCCTTGCTCAGTCCGCCTGGGCTCCTCAGTGCCTCCCTGCTTGAGCACCTCGAGAGGGTGAATAAGGCCCAGGAACTCCGTTCAGCCCTGCCACCTACAGGGGAAGCAGCTGGGATGAACCAGCAAAGGATCAAGTCTGTTTGGCTTTGGGATGTGTTTTCCTACCACTCCTTAAGCGTGGGAGGCTCCGGCTGACATTCTGGAAATTCACTTCAGCCCAAACAGGGAAGCCATCCCAGGATGCAGTGCTGAGTCCCTCCAGCCTTCTCCTCCCTCCTTGGCAAACTCCCTTCTGGTAATAGATTCTCCGATCTCCAGCCCATCCCAGGACACAGGGCTGGGTCCCTCCAGCCCTCTGCTCCCTCCTTGGCGAGCCTTCCTTTCTGGTAATAGATTCTTCCACCTCCAGCCTCATCTTCCTCCTAACTGCTCCCTCCCTCTCACTCTCACTTCCGTTCTTTTTCCCGGCCGTGTGCTTTTTCAGACCTTGCCCAGCCTAGAGAGGTGGTTAAGTGTGTGAATTTCAGGATTCTCTTCCTTCAGTCAACACAAGTGAGCAGTTAGGAAGCCCTCATTAAGGAGATTAGAGGCTAACTCTGAATTCAGGAGGTGCCGCAAAGCACACACTGCAGACTCAAGTGGGCTCAACAGGCTCCAGAGTTTCCACTGCGGAAGGTGGAGCCTATGACTCTCAATGTTTTCAGCCTCTGCAGGGAGGACACTGAAGGAACAATCACTCCTGTTAGGGTTGCACTCTGGTCCCTAAAGGAAATTGCTGCTGCCTGCAATGACTCCATAGTTGTAAGGAGTTGATGGGAGACGCCACCTCTTTCAGGAAGCCCTTCAGATAGTACCAGGCGTATCTCTTTCTCCCTCCCCTTCACCTTCAGTTTCCTGCACTGAGTGCAGAAGCTCTGGTTGTGCCCGAGGGTGTCTTCCTCATTACTTTTCTGTCTGGTTCATGGGATGGGAAACGATCATTTTGCACTTACGTCAGCCTTTACTCCCAGGACAGGTCCTGATGCCCAGTGGTAGGGGCCAGGCCTCGTAGTTCGTTCATGCACTAGAATGAGAATGGCCACAAATTTTTGCTTTGTGCATTTGTTTGGTTTCTTTGTCCAAATTTTCTTTCCTTTTTTTTTTTTTTTTTAATGGGAATAAGTTTCTGGTTATAAAAAAGTAACCCATGAGCTGAAGAAATCAAAAAGCACCTGTAATCCCGGCATTCAGAGGTAGCCACTGGGTCATTCTATCCAGACTTAGTTCTGTACACTTATACTTTGATGTACAATAAGAATTATACTATTTTTTTTCTTCTTTGCAATTTACTTTAAAAAAAGAAAAGAAAAAAAACAGATCCCATGGATGTCTCCCCAGGTAAATAGGCACAGGTCAACCCCACCTGTGTGGATGACTGTATGGTATCCTATTTTCTATTTGAGCCTCAGTTCACCCTCTATTAGCTACAGCTAATCTTGAAGAGACAGAGGATTGGTACGGTTATGATTTTTGGGCCAGATGCAGTGGCTCATGCCTGTAATTCCAGCACTTTGGGAGGCAGAAGTGGGCAGATCACTTGAGGCCAGGCATTTGAGACCAGCCTTGGCCAACATGGTGAAACCCTGTTTCTACTAAAAATACAAAAATTAGCTGGGTGTGGTGGCGTACATCTGTAATCCCAGCTACTTGGGAGACTGAGGCACGAGAATCACTTGAATCCAGGAGTTGAAGGTTGCAGGTTGCAGTGAGCTGAGATAACACCATTATACTCTGGTCTAGGTGACAGAATGAGACTCTGTCTCAAAAAAAAAAAAAAAAAAAAAAGATTTCTGTATGCCAGGTGTGGTGGCTCACGCCTGTAATCCAGCACTTTGTGAGGCCGAAGTGGGTGGATCACTTGAGGCCAGGAGTTCCAGACTAGCCTGGCCAACATGGCAAAACCTTGTCTGTACTAAAAATACAAAAATTAGTTGGGCGTGGTGGTGAGCACCTGTGGTCCCAGCTACTCGGGAGGCTGAGGTTGGAGAATCGCTTGAACCTGGGAGGCGGAGGTTGGAGTGAGCCGAGATCGCGCCATTACACTCCAGACTGGATGACAGAATTAGAGCCTGTCTCAAAAAAAAAAAAAAGAATTTTGTATGCCAAAGTAGAGAAAAGTGGGTGGCTGACTGGCACTAATAGTTGACCCGCTGACCAATAGAAGAGTGGACCGAGGTCTGGGAAGTGGCTCAGCCTGAGCCCTCGGTTTCTGGCCACTGTTTTCTGCCCTGAGGAGGAAGCAGCCCATGGTGGGGACTCTGGGTCTCGGCCTCACCTTCAGTGGTGGCACTGGAGTCCGCCTGGATGGTGCCTGAGGTCAGCCTTTGCCGCCGAGCCTGCGCTGGCATTGGAGGGGCCCTGGGAACGGTGGCTTGGGGAAAAGAGAAGGATGGCCCTGGGTCACACCCTTAATGCTCTGTGCCTACAGGAGGCCTCAGTGGGGCGACGGTCATTGACTCCCTCGACACCCTCTACCTCATGGAGCTGAAAGAGGAGTTCCAGGAGGCCAAGGCCTGGGTGGAAGAGAGCTTCCACCTGAATGTGGTGAGTCAGAGGCCCTCGGGGGGTGGTGGCCAGAAGAGGCCCAACAGCCAGCTTCACCCTGTCATCTCTGAGACCCAGAGATGTTGAGGGTCTCGCCCAAGGCTGCACAGTCCAGCAGTCTCAGAACCGGGGCTGCCGTGCACTCTGTGCTAAGTCCCTCCCTTAAGACAGCCTTGAGGTGGGGACATCTTCCCCAGTCTAGCATCCTCCCTAGGGAGGGGACACCACCACAACCATCCGTCCCCTCTCTGCAAGGTCAGTCATTGCTCATCTGGGGCACATTGCTCCCACCCTAGACAGCCCCCCAGGGCCGGATCTGTCACACGAAGCAGCGGCAGCAAGTGGGGAATGGCTTTGTGGAGGAGGGAAGTGGCTCATCTGCTTGGAGCTGCTCCAGCCTTGAGCCTGCCCTGCACTGGCCTGTTGAGATGGCTGGGTGGGGTGGGCGTGGAGTGGGTGGTGCACGTCCCTTTGCAGGCCCATGACCAGGCCTGGGACCTCTTGGTCTCCAGCCTTGCAGGCACACTTGGTCAGGGACCAGGGCCTTGCAGAGGGGATGGTCATGTGTCTGGATGGCACAACAGCCTTGAACACCAGACCCCACCATGTTGATCTCTCAGCCCAGACTAAAGCAAGGCATGCATCCCAGAGGTGAGCTCCCCACGGAGAGAGGCTATTTACATGGACTTGGGGAGTAAGCAATGGAGACCGGGAGGTGAGGAGGGGCCGCATCCAAGCACACACCAGCCTCCATGTGGGCTCCAGGAGTGCCAGGTCCTGCTGCAGACAGGTCTGGGACCGGCTCCTCCAGCTCCTGGCAGCAGCGAGGCCCCTGCCTCCTTGAGAGACAGTTTGCCGCACAGAGCAGGGCGGAGAGTCTGGGAGAGCCTGGGAATGCAACACTTCAGGGGAGCTTCCATGGAGACAGAGGCCTCTGGAGTCCTGGCTGCCCTGCACCTCTTGGAAAAGTCATTGACCCTCCCTGAGCCTTAGATTCCTCAACTATACAATGAGAATGGTGACAACAGCAACGATATTAATAATGCCTAACTCATAGGCTTATCATGAGAATTAAATACAGTGGAAAGTTGTAACCACATTTTATAACACTGTGAAGTCTGATGCTGGTGTAAAGTGAGGTCACCCTTGTCATTATTAGGATGACTTTGAGGCTTGTTAACACTTCTGGTTGTTTGTGTGAGGCCAAGGAAGCTGAGAATCCTCCATTACACGTCTTTGGGTTGGAGAAAGATGGAGGAAGGAGAAGGAAGGAGTGTCCCCCTAGGCCTTCCTTGTCCCCTGTGTAGACAGTGGCTCTTTGGGATACAGAATGGGCTCAGGCAGCCACCCACAGTGCCCTAGGAACCGGGGAACACTCAGGCAGGTGGGGGAGGTGAGGAAATGTCCCTGGAAGAAAGCAAGGTGGGGTCACTCGACCTCAAACCTTGACTTTCTCATCTGAGAAGTGGGAATGATGACCCTTGCCACACTCTGACCTCACTGAGCCCTGGGAGGCTGAAAGGGAGCGGTTTTGCAGGTGCTCTGTGGGTGGAAGAGTTCCCCCAGGTTAACAGATGAGCACTGCTGCAGTGATAAAGACAGTGGTGTTCAAAGCATGCTGGGGGAACCCTCCAGGGCAAGGAGGGTGACAACAGGCATGTCCGGCTATGGGCAGGCCTCTCTCTGCAGCGCCCCTGTGTCCCATGCCCACCCTGCATGGGAGGGGTTGGCAGCCCTTTTCTGCAGCTGAGGAAATGGGGCAGGGAAGGGCTGCACATCTTTCCTGAGGTGCCAAAGCCAGGTCCGTGGCTCAGGTGGGATTTACCCCAGATCTGGTCCTGGCGTGATGCTCCAGCACCCCTGATTTGCAATCCCAACTTAGGAAAGAAAATAGAAATGATTAAGGCCAGTATGGGCATGCCCTGTGCGCTCTGAGCTGAGGGCCCAAGAAACTGTTGCTCACTGAATACGCAGCTGCCTGGCCCCTCCTTCTTAGCCCCAGCCTGTCCCTGTCTGCCCCACAGCCTCCTCAGAGAACCAGAGAAGGGCCTCGCTGTCTTCCTGCTAAGCCCTGGGGTCTCCCCGGGAAGGGGAAGTAGCCTGACCAGAGTGGGCTTCGCCTCCCCTCAGTCTAAGCTCCAGCCAGCAGCTCTCCAGGCAGGTTCTGGCTCTCCTTGGAGCACAGCCAGGCATCACTTTGCTGCCATCGCCTTGGCAAGGGCTGGGGAAGGAAACCAAGCCCAGCATTTATTTGGAATGCTGGAAATTGCAGGAGCTCTGCCAGGCAGGTGCTGATTCCTCTCAACTTTTGTTATGAAAACCACCACCACCTTGCCTGGCTCACCAGAGCCGGGCACAGGTACGGGAGGAGTATCAGTGGCCAGGGTGACCTGTCTGAAGGGTCTGCATCTTACAAGTGTCCCCACTGTCCCCCTCCTTTCTGTCCTGCAGAGCGGAGAAGCATCCTTGTTTGAGGTGAACATTCGCTACATCGGGGGACTCCTCTCAGCCTTCTACCTGACGGGAGAAGAGGTGGGTTGGACCTTCACGACCCCTGGACTGTCCAGGCTGGAAAGGGCTTTGGAGAACATCCAGTCCTTCCCCCTCAGGCCACCCATGGGAAAAGAGACTTAAGGGGGCAGGGATGGGCCTGGGGCCGCCCAAGTCCACCCCTGAGGGCCTGTTTTCCCTCCGACCAACCCTCCCCTCCCTGCTTAATCAGTCATTGCTTATGGTGGGCATGTTGCTCCCACCCTGGACAGCCCCCCCAAGGCTGAATCTATCACACAAAGCAGCGGCAGCGAGAGGGGAACGGCTCTTCCTCCTTTACTCTGATGCCCCCATTCTGCTGCCCAGGTGAACCCAGCTGGCTCCCACGGGTGCTTGTACGTTCTCTGAGAGCAGCAGCTGGGTCCACACATCATCCACTTGGATCCCACTCAGCATCCAGCAGACACCTGGGCTGCTTTTCACGGGTGTTTGTTCTCAGGGCTGATAAAGCCAAGACCAAGACCCCCAGGCCTTGTCCTCCACAGCCACCCCTTGCCCTCCCCTCCTGGGCCAACCACCAGCCAGACACCTGCTCCAGGTCTCACAGGGACAGCAGGTGAGGTGGGGCAGCCACTGCTGTATCTGCCAGTGTCAGGCCTTGCCCCCAGGTGAGCTGTGTTGGCTTCCACAAAGAGGGCTGGGAAGTGCACGCTGCAGGAAGGCAGAGCTGGTGTAGTCAGGAAACCTGGCCCTCACTCCACGCCACCCTCACCTACTCATGGGCTTAGCGAGCTCCTTGTCCCACCCTGGGCCTCACCTCCTTCCCCAGCATGGATGGTTCTGATACCCCTTCGCTCAAAGAGCTCTTAGGACATGGGATAGGAAGGAAAGGTTGGGACCCCAAGGCTGACGGCTCCAAAGCCCATATTCTCCCTGCAAGAGAATTTTGAAAACCACAGAGCTCTATAAAAATGGGAGGCTTCTTCATTCCCCATCCTGAGCTCCAGTGAAAGCACAGCCCAGATATCTGGTGGCGAGGTTGACTGAGTCCCCAAAACGTCAGTCATTGGTCAGTTCTGTTCCCCATTACTCAGATGGGCTGCCGTGAGGCTGGACGCCCCACTGCTCTGACCACCCAGAGACAAATAATGATGCCTGCCCCCCCGCCACCCAAGGAGCCATAGAGGTGAGGCGGGCAAGCTACAGAATAATCCCTCTTCACCTCCACCGCTGCTGTCTGGAAAGTCATTTCCACTTTCCTTCATCTGTGAAGGTGCCAGGGGCTGAAGTCAAGGGTTTCGAGGCAACAGGCGGGCGCCTTATCTCTGCAGTTGCTCCAAGCCTCTCTCCATCGAGCATAATCTCCTCAGCAGAGATTAGCACTTGTACCAATTTGTCCCCAAATAATTGTAGATGGAAGCCCTCGGCTTTAAGCCACCCGGAGCCTGAATTTCATTTGAAAACTCCAGGACAGGAAAATGACAGGAGGAGGAGAAAAAGCATCCGTGTTCTTCAGGGCATGTGCCCAGCCTCCCTGCTTGGCCATGGTCAGTGGAGATGGCCTGCAGGAAGGAAGAGGGGAGGACACAACTGAGGACTCCCGGGGCAGTTTGGGGGTGAGCAGTTCAGGAAAGAGTTGGTCGCTGTTGAGACACATTGCCTCTTCCTTCCTTCCCTCTCTTCCATCCATCTTTCCTCCCTATCGTCCATCTTTCCTTCCGTTCTTCCTTCTTTCGTCCATCTTTCCTCCCTTCCCTCCCCACTTTCCATCCATCTTTCCTTCCATCCTTCTATCCATCTTTTCTTCCATCCTTCCATTCATCTTTCCTTCCATCTATTTTTCCTTCCTTCTGTCTATCTTTCCTTCCATTTTTTCTTCCTTTGTTCATCTTTCCTTCTATCCTTCCTTCCATCCATCTTTCCTTCCATCCTTCCTTCCCTTCGTTCATCTTTCCTTCCATCCTTTCTTCCATTTGTCTTTCCTTCTGTCTTGTCTTCCTTCCTTCTCCTTTCATCCATCTTTTCTTCTGTCCTTTTATCCTTCCATCCATCATGCATCTTCCCTGCCATTTTTCTTCCCTTCCTCCCTTCCCTCTTCAAGGGCATCTGTGGTTCTGAGAACTTGCTTTGAGGCCTCAACTTCCTAGAAGGCACCAGCAGCTCAGCTTTCCAGAACATAGACCAGATAGTGGGGTGTGGACAGGAGCACCTGTGACTTGAAAAACAGCTCAAAAGGCTCAGGGAGAGGCCAACGTGGCCAGAACCCTTGGGTGGCCAGGCAGGCTCCTGTGCCAGTCAGTGCAGCACCTGCCATCTGGCCACACCTTACTGATTTGTCCCCTGAACACCTCCCTGAACCAGATGCCATGCTGTGTTCCTCATGTGCTTTCTCACTGGAGCCTCAGATGGCCCCATCAGGTGCATGTTATCACCAATTTGCAGATGAGGAAACTGAGACTTAGAAGCAGTAACTGGCTCTGGGTCGCACAGTCTCTGAGGGCTGTGTTGGCCCTGACTTCTGACCCTGTGGCCTTTGTGCTATGGACCTGGGTCATAGCCTGGCATGGCATCACTGCTTGTCACCCGGGCTCAGCCACACTAGACTGAGGCCTCCCTCTTCCCTTAGTCCTTGAGCTCACATGCAATGGGTGCCTTTTGGGTGGATCTTTCCATTCTTAAAATTTCCCACAAAGGTTTGTGGAATGAAGGGTGAAGGAGACCCCACACTTTTCCTAGGCTGAGGCCTTTCTTTGCTTAAGATGAAGCTTCAGAGGGAGACCCCCTGCTGGGTAGGCCAGTCCTACCGAGACCCAGTGCCCATGGGAATAACTTGCATAACCACAGCTGCACACGTGATGTTGGCACGGCACTTCACAGTTTACAAAGCACATTCATTTCTCTACATCCTCTCATTTGATTTCCACAAAGACCCCTACAGCAGCGGGGCACGTGCCACCATTGGGTTGTGCAGATGAGGAAACCAAGGTGCAGTGAGGTTTCCTTCCCCCTCCCTTCTCCTCCACCTGGCTATTTTTTGTATTTTTAGTAGAGACGGGATTTCACTTTGTTGGCCAGGATGGTCTCGAACTCCTGACCTCAGGTGATCCACCCACCTCAGCCTCCCAAAATGCTGGGATTAGAGGCGTGAGCCACCGCGCCTGGCCTACAGCATCGTTTCAATAGCTGCATGGTGTTTTGTTGCATGGAGCCATTATCTAACCACTTTCCTATTGTTTGATATTTAGAATACTTCCAGGTTTTCCCACTAATCTAAGGGGTGCACTATAGCCACACAGCTGCGAAGTGGAAGGATCCGCACTTGGGCCCTGACTCCCAGCCCTGCGCCCTTCCCACCTCACAGAATGCAATTCCTACTGGTTTCTCTCAACCCTGTTCTGGAATTGTGGCCACTAGGCTGTATCTCTGCGTTGGAGAGACAGCTTGGTGTCCTGGAAAAGAGCCTCTTAACAGCTCCACTACCTTGGGCAAGTTGCTCCTCTGAGACTCAGTTTTCTCATCCTCACAGTGGGTCAGCGCCTTCCCCACAGGCTGTTGCAAGGGCTGAGGCCGGGCACGCCTGTCCGCACACATTCACTCAGCATCCTTCCGGGGACAGCTGAGACCTGCAGTGCCAGCCAGCAGCAGGGCCTTCAGAGGAGGGGATGTGGTTTGCTGGCAGAGAGGAGCATCTAAGAAGTGTTAGTTCAGCGTCCCCAGGGCTGAGGGCAGCCAGATGGCTGCGTGGAGCCTCAGTATCTGGGCTGTGGTTCTGGTGGGTTCGTTTGTTCACCTTGGGCAGCCTCCCTGGGGGCAAATAAAGATGTAAAGAGCCTCAGTGCGACCAAGGGCCTTGAGAGCCCTTTGTTGTTACTAAGCCTGGCTGTGCACCAGAATCCCAGAGAGCAGATCTGTCTGTCATTCTGGGCTTTGGAATCTGAATCCTAGACCAGCTCCCCAAGGGATCTGATGGGGCTGGTCCCTGTGCCCACTTCTGGGCCCCTCTGTCTGGCACTAGACATTCTCATCTTCTCTGACCCATCACTGCCAGACACAGCGCAGCCCCTCCCTCCCACAAGAAGAAAACCACCCCCACCTCAGAGACTTTAAAAGTCCACATCCCTTTTAAAGTGTCCTGAAATTCCCCTCCCACTGCATTCCCTACACAGCTGCCTCGGCAATTTCTAATTGTCGGGGAGCCGGGGCAGGACTCAAGAAGGCTTTGTTTTGCAAGGACCACAGGAGGTCAGCAAACTGGGCCCCCTCAAGCTCCAGAAGTGAAAAGACCTGTGTATTCCCCACTCTGAGTGGTTTCCTAGGGGCTTGTGTCTCATCTTTTAAAAATAAATAACATTTATTGTGGCTGTTCTTTTATTATAAAAATCACAGAGGAAATAGAGATGAGCCAAAAGAAAATAAAAATGATCCATACGCTTAACCCCCTAGAAGGCCATTATTAATATTTTGTTATATTTCTTTCCTTTCTTCCACGTCCACGGGATCTTTACCAAAGTTGAATTACTCCGTTTTGAAATGTATTTCTCTTAATAGATTATAAACCCTTTCTTTGCCGTTAATATTCTTCTACAGCAGCATTTTATTTTATTTTATTTTATTTATTTTTGAGATGGAGTCTTGCTCAGCTCACTGGAACTTCTGCTTCCCAGGGCGATTCTCCTGCCTCAGCCTCCCGAGTAGCTGGGATTACAGGCGCCTGCCACCACGCCCGGCTATTTTTTGTATTTTTAGTAAAGATGGGGTTTCTCCATGTTGGCCAGGCTGGTCTCAACTCCTGACCTCAGGTGATCCGCCCACCTCGGCCTCCCAAAGTGCTGGGATTACAGGTGTGAGCCACCGCGCCTAGCCCACAGCATCGTTTCAATAGCTGCATGGGATTTTGTTGCATGGAGCCATTATCTAACCACTTTACCACTTTCCTATTGTTTGATATTTAGAACACTTCCAGTTTTTCCCATTATTCTAAACAGTGCTGGAGTAAATAAATCTTTTTTTTTTTTTTTTTTTTTGAGACGGAGTCTTGCTCTGTCACCCAGGCTGGAGTGCTGTGGCCGGATCTCAGCTCACTGCAAGCTCCGCCTCCCGGGTTTACACCATTCTCCTGCCTCAGCCTCCCGAGTAGCTGGGACTACAGGCGCCCGCCACCTCATCCAGCTGGTTATTTGTATTTTTTTTAGTAGAAACGGGGTTTCACCGTGTGAGCCAGGATGGTCTCGATCTCCTGACCTCGTGATCCACCCGCCTCGGCCTCCCAAAGTGCTGGGATTACAGGCTTGAGCCACCACGCCCGGCCATAAATAAATCTTTACAACATTCTCGATTATTTCTTCAGAATAAATTCCCAGGCAGGAAACGGCTGGGTCAGAAGGTCACAGGTCCTTTTGAATTAATCAGACATCTCAGAACAGTTTGAAGGGGTCCGAGCCTCAGGCAGGGGCCGTGATGCCTGGGATCTCCCTGTGGCTCCCTTGCTATCCTGTGGGTGGTTGAGGATAAGCTACTCACCCTCTCCCTTCATTCCCCGTCTGTGAAATAGGAATGGTGGGCAGGATCAGGATGTCAAAGTGGGACAGGCCTGTCCACTGCTGTTACGCAGGAAGAGGGAAACTGTCCCCCAGGAGGAAGTGGTCTCTGGAACCTGAGGGTGGTCTTGGCTCCCAGTCCAGTGCTCTTGACAGTCTGTCCGAATGGCACTACCCGTTCCCATGCCCGCTGCCTCTGGTATCGTCCTGCAGTGTGGGCAGGCACGGACCTTTGGAGACCGGCCCATCTCTGCCAGGTCTTCATCTGGACTTGGAGGTTCCCCCCCCCACCCCCGGCACATCACTGCTTTCTCCCTCATCTTCCCAGTAGCCACCCCGTCCCAATGAGCAGCATCCAGCCTTTGCCACCAGAGTCCTGACACTGTGGTAGATGCTTTGCCACAATTATCTAATTTTCATTTCTCTCAACAACTCTGTAAGAAGGCCAATATTATCCTATTTTACGGACAAAAGCTGAGGCTCAGAAGTACCTTGCCCAAGTCCACGTGGCCAGCAGTTGGAAGGGCCGGGCTGGTGGGCTGCAGCACTGCCACCCACTCTAGGCCTGCAGCCCTGGGTGGTTCATCCTGCCTGCAGCAGTTCTGGGGTTGATCTTCCCTCACCCAGCCTGGAGTCGAAAGCCCTTTGACCCCCCTCCTTTACAGGTGTTCCGAATAAAGGCCATCAGGCTGGGAGAGAAGCTCCTGCCAGCGTTCAACACCCCCACGGGAATCCCAAAGGGCGTGGTGAGCTTCAAAAGGTAGGATGCCATCTTGTTCCCCACTGGGGCTTTGCTGTGACCATGCCCGCCGCTTGTGTGTCTTCTCTGGGTGGGGCTGGTGAGGAGGCTCCAGGGGCAGTGGGCAGGCAAGCAGGAGGGAGGACCCTTGGGACCACCTTTGTCAAGCTCGTTCTTTTATGATGTAGAAACTGAGGCTCAGGGAGAGGACCATACCTGCTTTGGGAGCCACAGTGAGTCGGTGGCACGGTAAAAGTGCCAACGACTTTCCCGGACAGGTGTTTGTCACCAAACCTGAGTCTCAGGGTTTAGTCCACATAAGCCTGAACCTCCTGGGGTGGGCAGGGGCAGTTCCTCTGGACATCCCACAGTGCTGTCTTAAGAGCCCTCCACAGTGGCCCCAAACACTCTCTTCCCCCATTGGGGTTCCAGAGCCAGCAGGCACATCACACCCTTCTCCTCCCCCAGTGAGGAGGTCCCCGAAGCTGCTAGGAGATCTCAGGATCCCAGCCCTCCCGGACAGGAGCCTAGCTCTCAAGGAGCCCTAGCCACTGTCCCTGTGCTGCATGGAGCTACTTACTAGAAGCCACATCCCTGGGCACCCAGCAGCTCTCTGGGGCCATCCTCGAGGCCCTCCAACAACCCCGACCCTAGGAAGGCTGTGATGTTCCACCATACCAGACTTCCCATCCCATCTCCTGAAGTAATTTCTCATCTCAGGACTCTCAACCCAACAGAAGCTTCAGCCAGCTGTCCAGGAGGAGAGGCAGGGGCCCTGGGCTCTGGTTGGAGGACCTGTAGCTCCGATCACTGTCCTGGGGAGGTTCCACCCTTCATGTCAGCCTCAAGGGCTTCACCACCTTTCTCTGGTCTTGCAGAAAGAGGGCTTGGCATGTTCAGCATCTTCATCAACTGTCCTCCCTGTGGTCGGGAAGAATTCCCAGGGTGTGAGCTCACTGGAATCTCACCATAGGCCAGGGAGGGGGGTGCTCTCGGGGACTGGAGAAATCCCAGTCTCGATGCCAGGGTTGACTCCTCAGAGCTGGACTCTTGGATCTCTGCTCAGATCCCTCTTCCATAAACACTGATCCTGGAGAGACACGGCCAGCTGTCATGAAGCCCAGACACACACACACTGTCCTCTGGCTCCCCCTCCCTGGGTCTGGGGTAGGACCTCGTTGGGGGCATCCTTTCCTCTTCTGTCCCTAGCTCTTCCCTAGGTCTCTCAGAGCAGGGACCTGATCTGACACGAATCCTGACATTTCTGATTAAGGAAGTGCATTTGCTTTTAGGCTGTTTGTGTGTTCTCCATGCCATGTGCGTTCATGTGTATTTCCTGGCAACATCCCCCTTTTTGTTCTTGGTAAGAGAGGCTGTTGCTAAAAATGCCTGCCTCAGAGAGTGGCAGGGCTGTATGGGCCCATGTGGCACTGAGTTTGCTCTTCAGAGGGGGCCTCCTGGCAGGAGCTGGGCTACTGTTGTTGCACCTGCCCCTGGCAGGGCTCACTGTGGGCAGCCCCGACAGGAGGGGCAAGAACGTGGGCCCTCCAGGAGAGTAGGTAACCAGCCCTGCCCTACACATCAGGGTGGGAAGGACCCTGAGGGGAGGCCGTTCCCCAGCAGGTTTGAGCTGCACCTCCTCCCTGGTGTCTGCACAGACCTGCCTGGGAGACTGAGGCAGGGCCAGCCTGACCTGGGACCTTCAGGGACACTGGACTGCCTGGGAGAGTGACGACGGCCTGTGCAAGGACCTCTGCAGCCAAGTCGGTCTCTTTCACTCATGCTCTCTCACACACATGCAAACACTCTCCTGCCACCCTTCTAGATCATAAAGGCCCGGATACACAAGCTGGCCTTTGTCGCAGACACGCTGGCATCCATACACAGGCACACACATTCACAAACGAATATCCGTTTACACGTGCATGCTTCCGCCACACACAAATAGACATGTCTTCACAATCGCAAATGTCTGGTGAGAAGTCACTGTGCGTCAGGCATCACGTGAGCACGTGACATGGATTGTCTTTTCGACCGTACAGCAACCACAGGGACTCCATTTTACCAGTAAAGAAGCTGAGGCTCAGAGAGGTGAGGTAACTTACCTGAGGTCACACAGCAGCAAAGCAAACTTAATTAGAAGCCCAGTCTGTCTGCCTCCAAAGTTGATGATTACACCATACTCATGAGTGTACCTGCCTAGAAGCTATAGCCAGGGTGGGGAGGGGCATTGTGGAGCAGCCCCTCCTGCCAGGAGAGAGAACACAGGCTCTGCGCCCACTTGCACTTGAAAGGCTGGGAGAGGAGGGCAGAGCTTCCTGCTGGCCCATTGGCTCACAGGGCTGAGCAGAGGACCTCCTGGTCTCTGGGATGCTGCCCAGAGCAGATGCATTTGGGGCACAGAACACCTAGGATTTGGAATTGGATTCAGTTCTGCCACTTACTGTGTGGCCTCGCCCTCATTCTATGAAATAAAGATAATGGTATCTACCTCCGAAGTTGGTTGTGAAGGTAAAATAAGAACCACCAGAACCACCTGGCACAGATTAGAAACTTAGTAACAACAACATTTACATGTGCATAATTACATAATGATAAAAATGACAATACTTACATGCATAATTTATACCTCACAATAACTCTATGAAGTGTGGGTGCTGTCACTTAAGGGATGAGGAAACTGAGTTCTAGGGAAGTTAACCAACCTGCCCAAGGTCACCTTGCTGGGACCCGGAGAAGCCAGCATTGGAAGCTGGGCAGGAGAGGAAAGACACCCAGCCACCTGCCCGCCTCTGCCCAGGCCGGCTCACTTGTCTGCCAGGGCGTCTCCACCACAGGAAGCCCACTCGGGAGGGTGAGCGTGTGGGAGTGGGAGAGAGGAAGGAGAGGCCCACGTGGGGGAAAATGAGAACAAAAGACAGCTGGAGGGCTGGTGGCTTTTTCCTACTTTAAACTTCCCTGAGAATGCAGGAAGAATGAATTATTCAGGAAGCTCTCTGAGACTCACTGAGATCACAAGCTGGAGAGAGAAGTCTCAGCTAGCCTTGGGGGAAGAGGGACAGAGAGGGGGCAGGATGGCAGCTCCCTCTTTCCCTCTGGGTGAGTGCAGGGCCGTCTTAGGGTGGGAGGCCCAGCAGACCTGTTTGAATCCTGTCTCCATCATCTTCTGCCTCTGACCTCGAACACTTCACTTCCCTGTGTGAGCCTCAGTTTCCTCCTTTGCATAGGGGTATGAATGATGCTTTACGTTATGGGCTTTCAATGAAGTAATGATGTAAACTGCTTGCCCCAGTGCCTGGCACGTTATAGCGGCTCAATAAATGGAAGTTCTTTTGTTTATTCAGATCAGGAGCCAGGTTTCCCCTCCTGTGCAACCCATCCCTCCCCCACTGTCCCCTGCCCCAAGCCAGGATGAAGGGGGTAGCTGTCTCTACATGTGTTGAGGTCACCTGACCCCAAAGATCTCAAAACCTGAGTCCTCCATCTGTTCCCAGAAGCTAGGAGGTTGGTAAGTGTCCCTACTTTCCCAGAAACCACATCCAGCCCCAAGAACAGAGTTAAGAGAGAACAGCAGCATCAGGGGAGCCCCAGCCCTACCCCAGGAAAAGCAGCACCCCTCAAGTGGCAAACAGTGACCTCCACACCCCCATGCCTGCCTTCCTAAGTCCGTCCATGGAGACAGAGGGGCAGATGGGCCAGTTCCTGGGAGGGCAGTGCAACCAGCAGCAAGGAAGCAGAGTGCCCCTGGCAGAGCCAGTCCCTCAACCTGTTCCACACTAACTACCTCAGAGCCGCTACAAATGGGAGGACGTCACTCCACCCTGCTCTGCCCCACCTCTGTCCACCACAGCCTTCCTGCAGAGACCGTGTGCCCCTGGTTGTCCTAAATGTCCCACAGGAAAGATAATCATGATACATAGAGGAGACTGAGGCGCAGGGAGGGGGAGCAGCTTGCCCAGAACCACCCCCATTCTGCACCCTCTTTTCCTCTTTATCCCCAGAAAAGCCCAGGAAGGAGGAGGCATGAACCTAGGAGATGGAGGCATCACCTTTGCCGTGTCTTACGGAGGCAGGCACTGAGGCAAGCAAGGATTAAGTGGTTTGCCCGAGGTCTCCAGCTGAGCGACACTTGAACCTGTACCTTCTGGCTCCAGATCTCAGGGAGACTGTAAATGAATGCTCCCGGAAAGGCAGTGTCCTTGTTCCCTATCCTATGATCAAAAGAGAAGCAAGTTGCACAGCAGTTAGCACAGCCTCTGGCGTCAGAGCCAGCACTGGATCCCAGCTCTTCGAATTACTGTGTGATCTCAGGCAGGGGACATCACTGTCCTGTGCCTTGTTTACCCCATTTGCAAAAGGGGCAGCTGTGAGGATTAACCAGGATCCAGCCTCTGCATTCTTTGTCTTTGAAAGCACACAGCTCCAGATGTGTGGTCACACCAGAACTCCCTGCCTGTCTCATGTAGGTTCCATGAAATTCCAGGCTGGAGCCATTTTGTGTCTGTGGGCAGCACTGACAGTGTGCTGGGCGAGGGAAAGAGCTAGGCGAGGCACTGCTTTTCATCGGCCCCATTTGCACCCGAATCACAGCACTGTTTATCCTCCACATGCAGACCCACCAATGGTTGTGAGCCATCCGGTGCCTTCAGCCAGAGGACAGCAACTGGGTGTTCTGTGGGGTGTTTGTGGTCCCCGACGGCATTAACCACATCATCTGTAAACTCAGCATAACTCTTGTACCAGGTCTCGAGTTCCCAACTCTTACAGGGGTTGCTTGATGATGGAACAGAGAATATTCCAAGTCAGGCCTGGGTTCAAATGACCTCCAGTGAGTTACTTTATCTCAGTGTCCTCATCAGGAGGATTCACTGGAATTGTACGGCAAAAGCTCCTGGTTCCGTGCCTGGCACGTAGTAGGTGCCCCCACCGAGCAGCTGCCGTTACTCTCAGCAGAGGAGCGGGCCTGGCCAGCGGGGGGATGACGGGGGCTGCTTCTGTCTTTTCAGTGGGAGCTGGGGCTGGGCCACGGCCGGCAGCAGCAGCATCTTGGCGGAGTTTGGATCCCTGCACTTGGAATTCTTACACCTCACCGAGCTCTCTGGCAACCAGGTCTTCGCTGAAAAGGCAAGTCTCCTCCCCACTCCCTCCCAAACAGCTCCCACCTTCTTCCTGCTGAGCAGAGGGATGAGCGTGCAGCTGCCACAGGGTTTTCAGAGGCGAGTGGGTCCTCCCTCGTGGATCAGCAGGAGGGCAGTGGGGAGCCCGGGAGCCTAAGCTACCACTAAGATAGCAAATAGCATCTACCTGTGCCCTAACGCCAGGTGGCAGGGAAGGTGGGCACGCAGTCAGTAAGATTCTACAGAGGGAAAGGGAGAGACAAGATTCTGCTGGGGAAAACGTTCTCACTGGTCTGCGTCAGCTCAGTGGCAACCACCCATATGTGAAGTCTGGAGAAAGTGCAACTGAAATCTAGGCACCACCTTGCATTGGCAGGAATTGGCCACCTGGTGCAGAAGTCCCCTTTCCAGAGATGTTTAGCTTTTCCATGTGAGATCTGCCTGCCTTCTTCCCTGTGCCTGTTTAGCTCATGCCGTCAACAGCCTGGCATGGCAATACCCTGCCATGGCAGATGCCCCAACTGTTCATTCCTGCTGTTCAAGGCCACACGGGAAGCTAAGGGCACCAGTCAGCCCTGACAGCTGCCCATAACTGGCCTTGGGCAGCCCCCACTACCTGGAAGGGTCGCTGCAAGTCTGACCTTAAATCCAAAGAAGGGAAGTGCTCACACCTCCCTCAGATGGCACTCAGGCTCCAGCAGCTACGGTCCCTCCCTGAGGGCTGCCTGGGGAGATGGAAGCCCTGCCCATCCTCTAGAGCCCTCCAGCGAGAACTTTATGGCGGTCCCACTCCCAAAGCCTTGTCTTCTCCCTGGAATGCCCGCCTCTTAGACCAGTATGGGAGCTGGGAGATGACTGATAGATTCCCACCTCTACGCCACGGCTCCCAGCTTGGTGGCTGGGAGATGATCGATTCCCACAGCTACCCCATGGCTCCCAGTATCATGTCGCCATCCAGCCTCAAAGCATCACCTGGCTCAGCTGTGAGGAAACAGATTTCTGGCCTTCACTCCAGGGCCAGGCATCTACATTTTTAATACGCATTCGTGTGCTTTTTGACGCATGGTTTGGGAGCACTACTTACTCAATGTAGGAGTCCACCTGAGTGTCCTTAAGAAGCTCAAGAAGAACTGTTCAGCCTCTTCTTGATTACTTTCTCTGACAAGGAGCTCACTGCCACCCTTAACAGCTCATCCTCCTGGCAGCCCTTCCTTCAAAAGTGTTTTCCTTACGTTGAGAGGGACTCTGCCTCCCTGAAACTCCCCCGTTTGAAAGCTCGTGCAGTGAGTTTAACCTCACTTCCCAGTAGCTCTTATTTTCTGATCCCTCCCCACCTCCAAGTCCCATCCCCCAACTTCCCTGTTTCCGTTGCTCTTAAGTCGTCAGACTCCTCTAGGAAGATTCTGACCAGCTCGGAATGGAATGGGACAGGGAACTCACTCCAGTCCCTGGTTATTCTGGAGTAATAGCTACCCCTGCCTGAGCACCCACTATGTGCTAGGCACATTATAATAGCTCCGCTCCTCCCAACAACCCTGTGAGGTGGGTCTTCCTGGTGTTCCCATATTTACAGAGGAGGAAACTAAGACTCAGAGAGGTGAAGTCACTTGCCCTGGGCCATCCAGCTGGTCAGTGATAAAGCCGTGATTGAAGTCCAGGACGTGCTGGCTCCCTCCAGACCAGATTGATAGAGCAGGCTGCAGGCTTTTGCTCTAGAGTCCATCCGTCTGTCTCTGTCTCCTCTACATTTACATACTCTGGCTATTTTCATCCCCCAATCATGCCTCCCACAGAGGCAATTATTGGCAGTCAACAAATTGGCCCAAATTCTAGAAGCGCCCGCGCCCTCCAGGGGAGCTAATTTAGCCTGCTTCACTGTTCACCACCAGGACAGTCGAGAGTAACTCAGGTACAAGCACATTCCTGTCCCCGTAATGGACTTCGTTAACATAAATGGATATGAAGTCTGACGTGGCAAAGCCAAGTGCTGTCGCCTGGAAAGGAAGGTCTGACTCAGAAAGGTGGCTGTCCCGCACTCCCGGCCCCGTACACACATAACTCCATCAACATGAGACAGTGTCATCCCAAGGGCCTTTCTCTCCCAAGGGGTCTTGTGCTGGCTGAGACGTGCTGAGTAGGATTTAACCACTGTCAGAGAGCAGGCACTATGGATAAAGCCCTCCTGGATTCCACTTCTCACCTTCAGAGTCCCAAAGGTTGCAAACCCAGCCTCTTCCTGCTCCAGCTGGGGCAGCCTCTGCTCCGTGGTCACCGCCCTGATCTGTGTTGGCCCAGTGCTGCCCTGTGTCGGGCAGGAATATGTATGGTTTACGTTGTCAGAATTCATTCACATCCTGGCTCTGCCACTTAAGGACCAGTTGGCCATCAGCAAGTCACCAAACCTATCTGAGATTCAAGTTTCTTGTCTGTTACACTGAGATAATCCCTTGTCGGTTATGAGGGTTGGCAGTAATGTATATAATGGATCTGGCTCAAAGGAACTGAGAAAGGTTAACAGCTGTCATTGCTTTTTATAATTATTATTCTTTTTATTAAAACCCTGAAATGCCTGTTAGGGCATGGGTTATTCAGGAGCCCAAGCCTCTCCCCTGAAATGATTCCAGGATATCAGTTAAAATAGCATATTACTAGACTGGGCCATATGAAACTGCCAATATTGGACCTTTTTTGATTGCCTTGTATACTTATTGTTTTTTAAATGACCAGAATACTTAAGTTAGCAACACTTAGCACTAAGCAGTTTTCAAGAATATAATACATTGTTATGAACTACAGTCATCATGTCTTATACCATAGATCTCTTAAACTTTTTTTTTTTTTGAGACAGAGTCTTGCTTTGTCGCCCAGGCCGCAGTGCAGTGGCGCAATCTCGGCTCACTGCAAGCTCCGCCTCCCCAGTTTACGCCATTCTCCTGCCTCAGCCTCCTGAGTAGCTGGGACTACAGGCGTCCGCCACTACGCCCGGCTAGTTTTTTGTATTTTTAGTAGAGACGGGGTTTCCCTGTGTTAGCCAGGATGGTCTCGATCTCCTGACCTCGTGATCCGCCCGTCTCGGCCTCCCAAAGTGCTGGGATTACAGTCGTGAACCACCGCGCCTGGCTGATCTCTTAAACTTAATTCCTCCTAACTGAAATTTTATATCCTTTGATCAGCGTCTCACCAACCCTTGGTAACCACCATTCTACTCTCTACATCTACTTCTTTTTTTTTTTTTTTTTTTTTTTTTTTTCTCTCTTTCTTTCTTGCAACTAATGCCCATTCTACTTTTGGAGCATCTACTTCTTTTTTTTTTTTTTTTTTTTTTTTTTTTGAGACGGAGTTCCCTCAGTCCCAGGCTGGGAGTGCAGTGGCATGACTCACTACTGCAACGCCTGCCTCCTGTAAGGCCCAAGTGATTCTCCTGCCTCAGCCTCCCGAGTAGCTGGGATTACAGGTACCCACCACCATGCCCAGGTAATTTTTGTATTTTTAGTAGAGACAGAGTTTCACCTTGTTGTTCGAGCTGGTCTCAAACTCCTGGCCTCAAGTGATCGCGCGCCTTACCTCAGCCTCCCAAAGTGCTGGGGATTTACAGGCATGAGCCACCGCGCTCCGCCGCTACTTCTACTGGATGAGTTCAAATCTCCTATTACATTCCACATATAAGTGAGAGACTGCGTTGGTTTTCTGGCCTGGCAGCATTTCCAGCCCCAACACAATATCCTCTGGTTCAAGTATTATGTTGCAAAATGACAGAATTTCTTTCTGTTTTAAGAGATTGAATTATGGCCTCCATTGTGTATACCACATTTTCTTTTTTTTTTTTTTTTTTTTTTTTTTTTTTTTGAGGCAGGGCCCTACCTTGCTACCCAGGCTAAAGTGGAATGTCATGATTATAGCTCACTCCAGCCTCAATTCCTGGGCTGCAAATTCAGTATCCTCCCACCTCAGCTCCTGAGTAGCTGGGACTACAAGAATGTGCCATCACACCCAGCTAATTTCATGTTTTATAGAGACGGGGTTTCGCCATATTACCCAGGCTGGTCTCAAAACCTCTGGGCCTGTGACAATCTGTAATCCAACTCAGCCTCCCAAAGTTCTGGGTGGGGATTATGCGCAAGAGCCACCACTCTAGCCTATACTGTATCACATTTTTTTCTTTTCTTTCTTTTTTTTTTTTTTAAATAGCGTTCGGGCTAAAAGTGCATATCTGCTCACTGCAACTCCTCCCAGGCTCCGCCAGGAGTGTTTCCTGACTACCTCTTGAGGCTTTCGAGACACAGGCCTGTGTTGGGTGCCTACACTTTCATTTTCAGTAGAGATGGGGCTCTGCCCATGCTGCCACAACTTGGCCCCAAATCGGCCTCTGGTGATTCACCTCTTGGCTCCCAGTGCTGAGATTACAGGCGTGAGCCACCATGCCTGGCTATACCACATTTTCTTTATTCATTCATCTGTTGATAGATACTTAAGTTGATTCCATATCTTGCCTATTTGAATAATGCCATGAACACAGAATATAGGTAATCTCTTCAACATACTAGTATCATTTCCTTTGAATATATACCCAATAGGGATTAAGTTGGATTTGACCATTTCTTTGACCTATTAGGTAAAAGGCAATTTTACCTAAAGCAACAAATGAGCTACTGTCACTTAACCCCACCTTTAAAAGAAGAACCTCCTCCGTAGGCCAGCCACAGTGGCTACACCTATAATCCCAGCACTTTGGGAGGCCGAGGTTGGCAGGATCACTTGAGGTCAAGAGTTCAGGACCAGCCTGGCCAATATGGCGAAACCCCATCTCTACTAAAAATACAACAAATTAGCCAGGCGTGGTGGTGGCTGTGCCTGTAGTCTTAGCTACTGAGGAGGCTGAGACGAGAATCACGAACTCAGGAGGTGAGGTTGCAGTGAGCTGGAGATGCCACCGCACTCCAGCCTGGGTGATGGAGTGAGACTCTGTCTCAAAAAAAAAAAAAAAAAGGGCTGTGGAGTTGAGACTAGCCAACCATATGGTGAAACTCCTGTCTCTACTAAAAATATAAAAATTAGCCGGGTGTGGTGGCACACACCTGTAATCTCAGCTACTCACAGAGGCTGAGGTGTGGACATTGCTTGAACCTGGGAGGTAGCGGTGTGTTGCAGTGAGCCGAGATCATGCCATCACTGCACTTCCAGAAATTTGAGTGACAGAGCGTGACTCTGTCTCAAAAAAAAAAAAAAAAACAAAAAAAACCCTCCTTGAAAGAACCCCTCAAAAAGGACCCCCTAAAGCAGCTGTAGCAATGAGACGCAGGTTGAGAATGGGGTGGGGTAGGAGTTGGCCAGGCAGTGGTTCTTGGGGGGTGACTGTCCAGGCACCAGCAGAGCAGTCATGGAGAGGCTTGATCAGACCCCTGCCAGCCACTGCACGTGGCACCAGGCAAGGCCATGTCACCACCCCCCCGGTTGAAGCCTCGTAAACTGTTGGGCAGTTTCCTTTCCTGCTCTCCTCGTAGTTTTTACGTATCTAGAAATCCAGCTGTTTCCCACCTCAGCTGCTGGGTGCAGTTGGCCTCTTCGAAGCATGTGAAGGTCGCTTACTTGGTGTCTGTCTCTCGCAGGTCGGAATATCTGCAAGGTCAGGAAGATCAAAGCCTCTTTTTGCCTTTACCCCACCCTTGGTAGCCACAGTGAGGGGAACTGGTGCAACGTGAGTACAGACATTATGCCACTGTCCTCATTCAGCAGGTTCCCTGCCTACAGGTTCCTAGGAAGACCCCCTTGCCAGTCCCCTGGGCTGAGTGGAGAGGATGTGTTTGTCAGAACTGTGCAGCCAGCAAGGCATTCTCAAAGCCTCTGACACCACTCTGCCTTCTCACGACCCTGGGCTTTCTGCCCGTCCTCGCCAGCTGCTGTGGTAGCCGGGTGTGATGGCTGCTGTTTCATTGAAGGCCTGCCTCTGTGTTTGCCACATCCTACTCTACCTATCTATGGCCATAGTGCTGTAGCGTCCCATCTCCTATCCTAGTAAGGTAGTGTGAGCCTCCTGTACTTTACCCCCAGGCTCTCGAGGGGTCCTAAGTGGGAGTCATTAAGGCTTCTAGAAGTGGCTCCAAGAGAGGCCAGGCATCCTTCCCAGCTCCCTTTGATCAGGTCTCCCCTCTACTTCCACCCCAATATGTTTTGTTTCGAGCGAGCGACAGAGCTCGCCTTGCCGCCAGGCCGAGGCAGTGGTGGGATCTCTGCTCACTGAAATTCTTCTGCCTCCTCCAGGGTTCAAGTGATTCTTGACTCAGCCTCCCGAGTAGCTGGGACTACAGGCATGCCAGCATGTCTGGCTACTTTTTTGTATTTTAATAGAGACAGGGTTTCACCACGCCGGCCAGGTCTCGATCTCCTGACCTCTCAAATGATCCACCTGCCTCGGCCTCTCCCAAAGTACTGGGATTACAGGCATGAGCCACTACACCTGGCTTCTCAACTTTAATCAAAAACAAACAAACAAACAAAACAAAACCATATACAACAATGTAGAAATAATATGAATTCGTTCAGGGCTTCATGACAGGGAGGCTAAGGCAGATGGATCACGAAGTCAGAGTTCAAGACCAGCCTGGCCAGCCATGGCAAACCCAGTCTCTACTAAAAATACAAAAATTAGCTGGGTGTGGTGGCACATGCCCTAGTCCTGGCGCTACCCAGGAGGCTGGAGACAGGAAATGCTTGAACTCCGGGAGGCGGAGGTGCAGGTGTTGCAGTGAGCTGAGACCGCGCCAGCTGCAGCTCCAGTTTGCGCACAGAGAGAGAGATCGTCGTCCCAAAAAAAAAAAAAAAAAGATATCATGAAATTCACCTGTATCTTAGACCGATAAGAAAGAATCAGTCCCAGAGTTTTCAGTTGTTCTCTGCTCCAGACTTGTTTCTCAGCCAGATAATAGCCAGTCACCTATGGAACATCATTCACAAGCGCCTCCCCAGCCCCACAATTTGAAATGCAGAATGGGGTTTGGGGTCCTTAGGTGGGTGAGGGTGTGGATAAGTCCCCCAGGCCCCTGGAATGCATGCCTGTTGAGAAGCCTTCCAACTTCTGGGCAAAGCAGAGAGGCGCCCTGGTCACATGGCTTCAGGTCAGCCAGAATTGGCAGTGATAGTTCCAGGCACGCCTTCTAGGGCCTCTCATGGGATGGCAGAGCCCTCATCCCCACTGCTCCTGTGCAAATAAGGATCTCTTCCTTTCCCCTGCCTCCCACCTAATTCTTTTGCAGTATACATCAGTGAGGCTCAGGGGCAAAGTGGATAAGTGAGTCTAATGACTGCATGGCTTACCACTGTATTCCCCTTGAATCCCAGTTTCTTGTCCTCCTGTGCAAAAATGAAAGAAGGGAGTGAGATGCATTCTTTGTGTGCCAAGGAGAGGCGGGTGGAGGAAGAATGGTCAAAGGCTGCAGGAAACAGATTTCAATTTCCATCTTCCAAAGATGATCTCAGTGGTCCTAAAAGGAACAATGGTGTTGGTTTAGAGAGGTAATATTGGGGACACGTGGCGGCGCAGCTGAGGCCTTTCCTTCCAACCCGAAGCGTCTCTCTCCCCAGAAAAACTCCAACCCAGGAATTTCTGCTGACCACCTCAGGTGGCCTTCCTGTAAAACTGCTTAAGAAATGAAAAAGTATTTTTAACCAAAACACACTGTCAAAATCCAAAAAGTATGGGGAGAAATGAAGCTTGAATTGCAAGATTATGGCTACGGGAAGAGGCAGTTCAGTAACAGCGTTGTGGGTTTTAATTGCAAGGCCTGACTGCAGTGATAAAGCCCTCTGCTGGGCTGAGCTGCTCCAGGGCAAGGCAGAACCCTGGGCTAGGGGCTGAGAGGGGTGTGGGCTTCCCAGCTCAACAGTTACCTTGGCAAATTACAAGGGAGCAAAATATGCCAGGAAGCATAATTCTTTTCTTTTTTGTGGCTGTGCCAGGCTGCAGGTCTAGGTAAAAGTCAGCCATATGGGAAATTGTTTCCTTATTAATAAATTCGAGCTCCTTGGCCTGTAGTATCAGAGGGATTATAACGCCGCGCTTCTAGCCAGCCTATAGCTTCTTCCTGGCTCTTGTGCCTAGGGCTGCCCTCGGCAGCTGCGGGTTTTTTTTTTTTTTTTTTTTGGTTCATACGTATTCTTTAGCACATGATAGCATTACCAATTGCATAAGCTATGTAAAGTGCGTTTTTCAAGTGTACTTCATATCATTTTCCTTGAATCTTTCAGAGCAAGCTCAGCAGGATAGGCAGGGATTGTGTAGCTCATTTGCAAAACTACAGAAATTGCAGCCTAGAGAAATGTCAAACAAGAAGGAATTGGGACTGCCTCTCAGTTACCTAGGCCTCTTGTTCTGTTGGCTTCCCACCTCCTGAAACCAAGCCTGGGGGCAACAGGGGAGCCCCAAGACAGTCCTGTAATGCAGATTTGCCACCAGGATGAACCTACCAGCCTTCCTGTGGCGCCGCGCCAACACAATAATGAAGATGACCCTGAGGTCGACTGCCGCGAGCTGAGAGCTGGCCGGTAGAAGGGGCCATCATTCTCCGCTGCGGTGGTGCCTGAGTAACTTTGCTACTGCCTGAATCCCACACTTTCTTTTCTGTGGGAGGGAAGTGCAAGTCTGTATTCCTGGGCAGGTGTTGGTGGGAGGAGTTTCAGCCTGGCAGTTCCTGGCATTAGATCAGCTGATTTCCAGGCTTGTGGGCCCAGCCTCCTGCTGCCATGTGGTGTGACGAGAGCGCATTGGCACGTCAGGAAGCAGTGCAGAGCTCTGCCTCTGTTCTGGGGCTCAAGGGGATTACCAGCTTGTGCCTCCTTTCACACATCTAGAGATGGGGAGATTCTCCCAGGCCTTGTGAGGGCGGGTGCACTTGAGCTAATGCAGAGCCATGTCTTCGCCACTGTGCCTGTACTTCTCCCAGCCCACCTCACAGTGTTGGGGAAGAATTCACACTTCATATACAAGCCACAAACACACACACACACCCCCTACCACCCCACCCACCATCCCTCCTCAGACACACTTACATTCCTCACATACATTCAGCATACTCCCTACAACACACTACATACACTTCTGCACACACAGACCCACACACCCACATTCCTCACATCCACACTCCTCCCTCACAGCACACACACACACATACATACACTTCTACACACACTTGCTAATATTATGCACACACCCTAAGTACACACATTACACACACTTCTTACACACCTAAGCGTTGGCCACTAAGCACAACTCTCTTCACAGAAAGTACATTTGCACACTTCCTCACACACTACACAAACAGCCTCGCGCCTCGCTCCTCAAGCATACATTCACACTTTCCTCTACACACACACTGCTACATACACTCCCCACACACACACTAAGCATACACTCCCACAATAATAATACTAAGGTGTTGACTTCATACACACACTACATAATTTCCCACACACACACTACATACACTTCTACACACACACATACTACATATACTTCTACACATACTTTCATACACTTCACACACACACACTACATACACTCCTACACACACACACTAAGGCACATACTCCCCCACAATACTAAGAAGCTACACTTCTACACCTACACTCCCCCACACAGCCACACTAAGCATATGGCCACTCCCCCTACACTCTACACTCTCTCTATAATAATGCCTGGCATACACTTCCTGCCACACACACCACATACACTTCCCATGTACACACACACACTACATACTCCTCCCTACACACACTACATACACTTCTACACACACTACATACACTTCTACACACACACACTACATACACTTCTCTACATACACAACATAATACTAGCATATTAATCTCCCCACACACACTACATACACTTCCCCACACACACTAAGCATATACTCCCCACACACACTACATACACTTTTCCACACACACACACTACATACACTTCTCACATCACTTATATACACTCCCCCACACTCTATATACACTCTACACACACTACATACACTTCTGGCCACACACTAAGTATACACTTCACACACACACTACAGACACCCCCACACACACACACATCACTACATACACTTCTACACACACTTCATAGTAACTACACACACACACACTACATACACCCACACACATGCCACTACATACACCCCTGGCCACGCCAAGCATACACTTCACACTCTACATAATTTTTCACACACTAAGCATAATACCCCCTCTACACACACTACATACACTTCTATACACACACACTATATACACCCCCACACACACTGCATACCACTCTCACACACACTACATACACTCCTCACACACACACACTACATACACTCCCCACACACAATACGTATCATATACACTGGGCCACACACACTACATATAGCCACTTTCTACACTTCTAAGCATACACTCTCTTACACACACTACACCCCCTACACACACACTACATACACTTCTACGCCACAGCCTAAGCATACACTTCTTACACACACACTACATACACTCTCACACACACATCATATACACTTCTGCACACACTACATACACTTCTACACACTCCCCATATACACTTCTACACACACTACATACACTCCCCCACACACACTACATACACCCCCCCACACACACACACTCAAGGCCACTTCTACACTCTACATACACTCCCCACACATACTACATACAATTCCTCTCTCACACACACTACACATACACTCTACACACACACACTACATACACTTCCCACACACACACTACATACACTCACACACACACACACACTACATACACTCCCCCACACACACACTACACTTCACACACACACACTAAGTATTGGCACTCCCTACATGCTACTCAGTATACACTTCCCTACACATTAATAATACTGGGGTATATACTTCTACATAATCAAGTAAAGGGCTATCTCCCTGCTATTACACACACACACTCAAGTATGCCACCTCGCCTCTACACACACACTACATACACTTCTACACACACACACACACTACATACACCCACACACACACACTAAGTACACTCCTCTAAGCACACACAGCCTACATAATAATTCCCACACACACACACTAAGCATACCCCCTCAGGCCACTTCATATACACTTTACACACACACACACTTCATATATCACACACACACACATATCACACTCCTGGGCAGCCACACACATGCCACTACATACACTTCCACACACACACACTATAATTCTACACACACACTGTTCATAATCCCCCACACACACTATATACATACTCCTACACACATACTATAATTCTTGCCACACATTGGCTACACACCACCTAATAATTTCACACAGACACCACCTACACTCCTCACACACACTACACACCACTACATTCTCACACACTAAGCACACCACCTAATACCTTCCTACAATACTCTGCTATTGCTCACCTGTATTACTCTTCATGCTAATAGCTACACACCACCTGCCAGCCTACACACGCCAGGCCACTACACACCACCTACACTCGCCACACATCACATACCACCTATATTCTTGCCACTATACACACCACCTGGGCTAATTCTGGCCACACACTCTTACACACCACCCACTCCTCACACAGATACACACCCACACTCCCACACACACACACCACCCACACTCCTCACACAGCTGGCTACTACACACTCACTCCACACTCCTCACACACACTACACACCACCTGGCTAATTCTGCCACACACTACACACTACACCTACACTCCTCACACAATACTACACATTCACCTAAGCACTTTCACACACACTACACACCACCTGGCACTGGCCACTTGCTAATACACCGGCTCTGGCACTTCTCACAGCCACACACTACACACCACCCACACTCGCACACACACATCACTCACACCACCTACACTCCCTCACAGACACCACCTACAGTCCTCACACACTACACTCACCTACACTGCCACACACACACTAAGTGTATAATTCACCCCACACCCTCACACACCACACCACCCACACCCCCTCACACACTACAACACCACCCACACTCTCACACACACTACACACCACCCACACTCCACACACACTACATAATTCACCCACACTCCCTAACACACACTACACACCACCTACACACTCTCTACACACACTACACACCACCACACTCAAGCACACTACACACCACCACACTTGGCCAGCACTCACAGTTCACCACCCACTCTCACACACTACACACCACCCACACTCACACTACACACCACCCCAGCCACTCCCTCACACACCATACACCACCACACTCCCACACACACTACACACCACCCACACTCCACACACTACACACTCACCCATACACTCCTGCACACTGCACACCACCCACACTCCCCTCACACACTACACACACCACCACACTCCCCTGGCCACTACACACCACCATGATCACACACACACTACACACCCACCAACATCACACACACTACACACCACCCACACACACAACACGCCACCTGTTAATTTCTCATGGCACACACACACTACACGCCACCCACACTCTCACACATTGGCCACTACACACCACCTACACTTCACACAATGCTCACACATACCACCACACTCCTCACACTACACACCACCCACACTCCCACACACACACCACCTACTCCCTGCCACACTACACACCCACCCACACTCCCTGCCACACCAGCACCACCCACACTCCTCGCCAGCCACTACACACACCACCTACACTCCTCACACACACTACACACCACCCACACTCCCACACACACTACACACCACCTAATCACTCCCTTTACACACACTACACACCACCTAACACTCCCACACACACTACACACCACCCACACTTCACACACTACACACCACCCATGCTTCCCTGGGCACAAGGCCACTAAGCAGCACACCACCTACTCCTGCTACACTAAGTACACCTGTTCCACCTGCACACATACTCACACACCACCTGGCCACTCCCCACACACACTAAGCACACCACCCACCCCCGGCCACACACTAAGCACACCACCCACACACACTCCCACACACACACTACACACCACACCCACACCTCCCTCACACACACTACACACCACCCACACTCCTCTCTCACACACTAATAACCACCCACACTCCCACATACACACTACACACCACCTATATACACTCTCACACACTACACACCACCACACTTCACATACTCACACACCACCACAATTCCTGCCACACACCACCTATTACTCCCTTGCCACACACTCAAGCACACACCTTCATCACTGTACACTCTTTGCTACACACATCAGTACACCACCTACACTCCTCACACACGCCTACACACCACCTCACTCTCAACACTACACACACCACCACACTTCACACACACACACTAAGCACACCACCTATGCCACTCTCGCCACACACACTACACACCACCCACACTCCCCTCACACACACACTACACACCACCCACACTCTCACACACACTACACACCACCAGCACACTTGTACATGTTGCTACTACACACCACCACCTGGGCTACTCACAGCCATTGGCCACTACACACCACCACACTTTCCCACACTACACACCACCCACACCTCTCACACAATAATTACACACCACCAATAATTCTAAGGCCACACACTACACACCACCCATACTCCTACAACATAATACCAGCACACCACACCTACACTCTGCCATACACTACACACCACCTACACTCCTCACACACTACACAACAGCCCACCACACTCCACACACACACCACCCACACTCCTACACACACTACACACCACCTACACTTCACACATACTACACACCCACCACTTTCACACACACTACACACCACCCACACTCCACAATACCACACCACCCACAACTTTCACACACTACACACCACCCACACTCTCACACAGACACCACCCACAACCTCACACACTACAGCCAAATTTGGCCAATTCTGGCCACACACACCCACACCCACCTGGCCACCTCACACACACCACCACACTCCCACACACCACCTACACACTCCACACACACACTACACACCACCACTCACACACACTTCCACACACCACACCTCACACTCCCACACACACCACTACACAATACTCCACCTACACTCCTCACACACACTACACACCACCCACTCCCTGGGCTGCTGGTATGCCCACCTACACTCCCACACACACCACACCACCCACACTCCTCACACACACTACACAACGCCCCACACTCCCTACACAGACACCACCCACACTCCTAAAGCCACACAATTAAAGACACCACCCACACTCCCTACACACACTACACACCACCCACACCCTGGCCACAGACACCACTCCACACACTCCCACACACACTACACACCACCCACACTCCCTCACATACTACACACCACCCACACTCCTCACACAATACACTCACCTACACTTGCACACATACTAAGGCACATCACCATACTCCTGCCACAGATACCACCTAGCACTCCCACACACTACACACGCACACTCCCCACACACACACTAAGCACACCACCTACACTCCTCAAGCACAGGTTAACACCACACTCCTGGGTACACACACTACACACCACCCACACTTCACACACACACTACCCACCTACTCCTCACACACACTACACACACCACCCACACTCCCTCACACACACACCACCCACACTCCTCACACATCACACACCACCTCCACACTCCCACACACCCAGCACACCACCCACACTCCCACAGCCATTACCTACACCCACCTACTCCCACACACAGCCACTACACACCCACCCACACTCCGGCCACACACACTAAGTATTGACCACCACACTCTCTGCCACACACTACACATCACCCACACTTGCACACATACTACATACCACCCACACTCCTCACACACTACACACACCTCACCCACACTCCTACACACACACATACGTTCACCCACACTGCTACACACTACACACCACCCACACCCCCACACACACATAAGCACACCACCCACACTCCTACACACACACACACACTCACTCATACACTCTCACATAAGCCACACTGCAGCACTGCTCACCTACACTCTCTACACACTTCACACCCACCTACACTTTCGCCACACAAGCAAGCACCACCTGTTCACTCCTGTAACACACACACTACACACCACCCACACTTCACACACACCACACCACCTACACTCCCACACACACACACCACCTACACTTCTGGCACACTAAGCACACCACCTACATCACACACTACACACCACCCACACCCTCACACACACACCACCCACACTTTGACACACTACATACCACCCACACTCCCTCTACACACTACACACCACCTACACTCTCACACACACTACACACCACGGCACACTCCCACATGCTGCCACACACCACCCACACTCCTCACACACACTCAAGCACACCACCCACACTCCTCACACACTACACACCACCCACACTCCCACACACACACTACACACCACCACCACACTACACACACCACCTACCTACACAGCCACTAAGGTAGTGCCACCACCCACACTCCTCACACACAACTATACACACCACTCCACACTCCAGTAATACCTACACACCACCACACTTTCACACACTGCACACTCCACCCATACTTCTCACAATACTACACTCAACGGCTACTCCTCACACACACTAATAGCCACCACCTAAGGCCACTCCCTTCTACAGCCACTACACCACCCACACTTCTACACACACGTACACACCACCTAAGCACTGCACACACACTACACACCACCTACACTTCACACACAATATACTAAGCACACCACTCCACACTCTCAAGCAATACTCACACACACCACCTGGTACAGACCCACACTCACACCACCTCACAACCTCGCTACACTACACACCACCTAGCTAATTCCTGCCACACACTACACACCACCCACTCTACACAATTACACACCACCTACACTTTCACACTACACACCACCCACACTCCCACACACACACTACACACACTCCACACTCCTCACACTACACACCACCACACTCCTCTCTCACATTGCACTACACACCACCCACACCCTCCTACACACACACTACACACCACCTACACTCACACTACACACACCACCCACACTCCACACACACACTACACCTGCCACCCACACTCTCACACACACTACACAACACCTACACTCCTCACACACACACACTACACACCACCTACACTTGGCCACACACAATACTACACACCACCCACACTCACACACAGACACCACCACTCCCACACACACACTACACACCACTTCACACTTTCACACTACACACACCACCTACACTCCTCACACACTACACACCACCCACACTCTCACAATAATACCTACACACCACCCACACTCCTCCTACACACACTACACACCCACCCACACTCCACACACACACTACACACCACCCACACCTGCCACACTACATATCTTTACCCATAATTTCCTGCTACCTGGCACACCACGTGTTGCTCTTTGCACACTACATACTACCACACTTCACACACACTTCACATAACACTAATGGCACTCTACACACACACTACATACCTAATACTCCACACACACACTACACACCACCTGCCACTTCTCACACACTACACACACACCTGGCCACTCACACACTAAGCACACGCCACCGCCCACACACTCCTACACACTACTAAGGACACCACCGTACACTCCTACACACATACACAGCACAAATTCAACTACACTCACACACACAGCCACTACACACCACCTACCTCACACACTACAACTACCTACATTTCCTTTGCCATACTAAGTACACACCTACCTACACTCCTGCACAAATACTACACAACACTCCACCTACACTCCCTCACACACTACACACCACCCACACTCACACTACACACCACCTACACTCCTCAAGCACACACTACACACCACCTACACTCCTACACACACTACACACCACCCACACTCCTCACACACTACAAAGCTACACCACCACACTTCACACACATCACTACACCACCCACACTCCTGGGGCCACGCCACTCATGACACCACCTGCACACTCCTACACACACACACTACACACCACCCACACTCCCTGCCACACTACACACCACCCACACTCCCACACACACACTACACACCACCACACTCCCTCACACACACACTACACACCACCCACACTCCCTCACACACTACACACCACCACTCCTCACACACAGACACACCATTAATTTCCTCACTGGCATACCACCTAACACTCCCACACACACTACACACCACCTCCATTACTCCCCTCCACACACACTGCACACCACCGGTAATCCCACACACACTACACACCACCCACACCCACACACACCACCCACACTCCCCACACACTGCAATACCACCGGTACTCTCCACACACACACTCTGCTTCACTCCACACTTCCACGTGCACACACACACACTTCTCACACACATACTCCTAGGCACACTTTATATATTATACCCTCACACACACACTCTGCACACACTACACATTAGTTCTCACACACACTACACACCACACTCCTTTGACACACACACTTCCTGTACACATCCACACACCCCTACCCTCAGCGCACGCACACACACACACCTAAGGTAATTCTACATACATACACATTAATCTCCTACTACATACACCCCACTCTGTGGCACTGGCATATACATACACATGCACACACTCACACACCTGCCACACAGGCTGTGGGGCAGGGACTCCTCTACATGGGAGACGCCACATAAGTGCCCCAAGAGGCAGCCGTATCTCAACATCAGTGGGACTCCTAATGACTTGCCTCGCTGCATATCTCTTCTAGAGAAGTTAATTTTGTCAATGCGCATACCTGGCTACCGCATGATTGTGTCTCCAAAACTCTTGGCTTGGTATTGTGCCTTTCCTCAGCACAGCTTCGGGTGCCGCATCTCGGCAGAGAGCCTAAGCTTTCTTGCATTCACTCCTCTCAGCACTCCGGGCATTCCTCAGCGCGCTTATAGTTAGCTGGGCACTGAAAGAGTCGTGATGCAATCCTTTCCTACAAAGAGCTTCTTACGCGCAGGCAGACCTGTGTCAGGCACTCATCACACACCTGGTGGCACTGATGGCAGGGTGGGGCTCACCACTCTGAGGAGTGCGCCGAGGTCTTCAGAAGATGGTAGCTGGCTTCCGGGAGCTTCTACTTAATCCCTGTGTGCACTAGAGGGGACCGTGAGCCAGGTTGTGGAGAACGCTTGAGCCTCCCGGGTGGGGGACCCAGGTGGAGGGTGCAATACACTTAGAGTGCTGAGAAAGCTTCAGCTGCCGTGTCTATGATGGGGCTGGAGTATGGGCTTCTGAGCAGAGGCTGACTCCATGACTTCCAGCTCTGGAGCGCTGACTCCCCTCCTCCTCTGCAACAGACTCTGCTCCTCTCCTCAACATGGCAGGCCTGGCCCCAGCCTCTTCCCTTCTGTACCTAGGAAGAAGAGAGGTGCCACTTCTGCAGGTTTTCCTCTGCCACCCAGAGAGCAATAAACCAGCTCAGCTTCGGCTCCCTTTCCCAGCTCCTCCCCAAAGCATACAAGCCATCTGTCTGTTCTCCACTTTTGTGATTTGGTCCGCTTCTGGAAACCTTCTTTGCTTTTGCTGGGCCAGGGACTTATTTATGGATTGGCTGCAGGGGGCCAGAAGGGCGGGTGTACTGCCTAAGGCTTCCTCTCTCTCGACCTCCCATTCCTGGGTCCATCTGTTCCTCACTCCTGTCTTTTTGTCCCTTGGTCCACAATTTGTCTTCTTTTTCTTTCATGGTTTTGCTCACTCTCTCTGCTGACTGTGTGAGCTGCGGAAGGGTGGGAGAGGTCAGCCCGCTTGATGGTCTTGGAGTGAGCGTGGCTTAGGCCCACAGCTAAAGGCTGCTTCTTCCCACTCTGGGAAATGCTGGGTCATAGCACCTACCTTTGCAGGTGCTCTGGGGTGCTATAAATAATACAGTGAGGCTCCTGGGCCTACAATAAATGGTAGTTGCTGGTGTAAGTTCTCTCTTCAACCTTCTCCTCCCCTTCCCCACCCACTTTCCTCCCCTCTGGCTCCTCTCTCTTCTGCTGAGGAGTTTTGAAAACACTCTGGGTTCACTTCTACCCTCCCCGGGCCTGGCCCACTCCTGGGCGCATTTTCTTCCTCCCTTCGGGTCCACTCTCTCACCCCCGCCTTCGGCCCATCATTTTCTTTTCTGTCCACTGCACCCCCGCCTTCGGTTCACCTCCATTTTTTTTTTCTGTTCACTTTCTTCTACACTCTCACGCTGGGTCTACTCCCCATTTTTTCTCTGTCCACTTCCCCACTCCCCGCCTTCGGTCTACACTTCTCATTTTTTCTCTGTCCACTTCCCCTACCCCGCCTGTCCACTCCATTTTCTTTTCTCTCTGCTTAAGTGAATCAGAACATTACAGAACTGGTTTGCTCTTTAGAGTTAACTACTGTACCTTTACGCTTTCCCTCTGCTTGTCAATTGTCAAAGCTCATAGGGAATGAAGCGTTGTCTTGCATCTTCGCGTGAAGTGTTCTTCGGGCAACCCGCCTTCTCCTGGGACGGCTCCTGGGTGAGACCTTCGCTCAGCTACAGCCTGTGAGGCCTCTGGGAGCTCTCTGCAAGGCTCACTGTCTAGCAGGCAGAGGCTACTCAGGGGCAGAGAGGGGGTAAGTAAGACTAATTCTTCTCTTCTTCTCTGCTCCTTTGAACTCCATTTATCCCAATTTGCTAAATTTGAGCTTCCAGTTTTTTCTCCAGAGTGCTCTACTTGAGGCTTGGCCAAAGCTAAATTAAGGTTTTTCCTCCCTCTCTTTCCTACATGGCCTTTATGAAGTTACCCAGCATTAATAAGAGCATTGCTTGTCACTGGGCACAAAACTTGAACTCCCTTGGCACACAGATTATTCTTTTTGTAAAGAAATGCAATCACTTACAGTTAATAAATTCAAGAGCCCTGGCCACCCCTGTGCCTAAGGCAGGTGATTTATAGCACCTGGCCAAGTTGAGCCTTCCACAGTGCACTTTTAGGTAGGATGTGCGCTTAGACTGCCTGGCCTGAAGCCGCAGGCTGTGCCTGCCTTGCAGTCTCCTAATTTCCAGGTTTCGGTGGCTGCTGGCGATGCCCACTTTCCTACTCTGTGGCTAGGCACCAGCTCCCTGAGGCTAGGCGGGTGGTGGGGCAGAGCTCCTGCCCTAGGAGAGCCATGTGGCAGATGGAGATAATAAATGCATCCTTCCTCACAGACTACGTTCCCGGTTGGAGGACTCCCTCTCTTCTCGGGACAGTTTTATGAATATTTGATCAAATCCTGGTTGATGTTTGGGCAAGACAGATAAGGGTGGAGGGCAAAATATGTACTACGAAGCTTGAGGTAAGACAAGTACTATTATTCAGGCTGCTGGTCACCAGCCTCCAAGTTTCTCTTTACAGGCCCTGAGTGCTGGGGAAGGTGGGGCCAGATGGGCTGAGGCTTGCTCCCACTCTGCAGGGAACTGGTGAGAAGATTGACAGGGACAGCCCTCCCAGCCAGGTATTTACCTGCCACTCCTCCCTACATGCTCTGGGAGATGGCTGCCGATGCAAAAACGCAAGCTCAGGGAGGTGAAGCCGGCCATGTGTCCGGTGGCTCCCCTCGGCGACCGCCGTCTGATTCAGAAACCGCCATCTTCGGTGCTCCGTGCCTCGGCTGATGTGTCAGAGCCTGGTGAATGCAGCCACAGATCAGCTGCACCCCCAAGGGTGTGCTACAGTGAGACTCTCAGCTGTGGCCTTCTCTTTTGGACAACAGAGGTGATGGTGAGAAGTACGCCCAAGTTGGAAGAGGTTTCTTCTGTGAGAGCGCTCCAGCTTTGTCTTTCTTTATGTGGATGGAAACCAAGGCCTAGAGAGGGAAGGCACTTGCCCAAGGCCGCACAGCACAGAGCTGGCCAAGCTGGCACCACTGCTGGTCTGTCCACGGGGTATGGGAATGAACGGTGGCTGGAAGGCGGAGGTGAGTCCTCCGGAAGAGGGAGAGAGACTAGACAGAAGAGGGAAGCGCCAGTTAGCTTGAGCCATTGGGAAGAGGGTTAGGAATCCTACTTACTTCAATAAATACACTCTCGGAGCCTAACTAAGGAAAAGGCACTGGGCCGGCTCTGGGCCTCAGTTTCCCAGCAAAGCAAAGCTGAGCAAGTTGGATTCCACGCCACTACCTTGGCTCCACTCACCTCTTATTTCCTCTTAAACTGCTTCTCTCTGCCCTGCTCTCTGAATGCTATGTGGGGAACAGAAGCTAGAAGAGTTAGAGGCACATCCTCTCCTCTCTGGCCCTCTTAGTACTCTGAATAAATCCAACTCCTCTTGTATTTAGACGGGGTCCACTCTTCTGGGCTCCTGCTGGATCACTTCCTGACTTCTCACCCTGCCTCCCTGCCCTGTGCCTCTGGGCTCTGGCACCAGTCTTCCTGCTCTTCCTCAGACACTTGCGCGACTCCTCACCTCAGGGCCTTTGTACTGCTGTCCCCTCTGCCTGGAATATCATTCCAATGGCTAGGTCCCACTCACTAGTCAACTGTCAGTTCAGATGCCACTGAAACTACCATTCCCAGCCTGTCACATACCAAGCTTATTCTTCACCTTCATCACCCTAAGCAATTGGTCACAGGCATGTATTTGTTTATTTATTCTCATCTTCCTGCAACAGAATGTCAGTTATCTGGGATCAGAGATCTTGTTGTTTCTAAAAACAGTGCTCTGGCACATAGCAGGCACAGGGTAACTGTTTTGTGAACAAATGAATGAATGCATGCATGCATGAATGCTGAAAGGATGGATGGAGGGAAGGATGGATGGGAGGGAAGGGATGGATGGGATGGAGGGAAGGATGATGGATGGTGGGAAGATGGATGATGGTGAATACTGGATGGGTGGAGTGGGTGGAAGGATGGATGGATGGTGGGGAAGATGGATGGATGAGGGAAGGGATGGATGGATGAGGAAGTGATGGATGGATGGTGGGAAGGATGGATGGATGAGGGAAGGATGGAGTGAGGGAAGGATGGATGGATGGTGGGAAGGATGGATGGATGGTGGGAAGGATGGATGGAGGGAAGGATGGATGGATGGAGGGAATAGATGGATGGAGGGAATGATGGATGGATGGTGGGAAGGAAGGATGGATAGAGGGAAGGATGGATGAATGGAGGGAAGGATGGATGGAGGGAAGGATGGATGGAGGGAAGGATGGATGGATGGAGGGAAGGATGGGTGGATGGAGGGAAGGATGGGTGGATGGAGGGATGGATGGATGGATGGAGGGAAGGATGGATGGAGGGAAGGATGGATGGATGGTGGGAAGGATGGATGGATGGAGGGAAGGATGGATGGAGGGAAGGATGGATGGATGGAGGGAAGGATGGATAGAGGGAATGATGGATGGATGGTGGGAAGGAAGGATGGATGGAGGGAAGGATGGATGGATGGAGGGAAGGATGGATGGAGGGAAGGATGGATGGAGGGAAGGATGGATGGAGGGAAGGATGGATGGATGGAGGGAAGGATGGATGGATGGAGGGAAGGATGGAGGGAAGGATAGAGGGATGGAGGGAAGGATGGATGGATGGAGGGGAGGATGGATGGGTGAGTAGATAGATGGGTGGGTGGGTTTGGGCAGTTGGATGGATGGATAGATGGTCTCTGACTACCCTCTGATCACAGGAATCTGGCCAGGAATGGTGGTGCTTAAAAGACACACATTGAAACGGACTGCTAGAGCCCTGGATCCTTTAAACCATAGGCTCGGCAATGAGTTTTCCCTGCCCAGCTCCCTGGCACAAGACCTCCGTCATGAAGCAGCTTCTGGGACTATAGTCCCATCTCAGTCTGAGTCCCAGCCTTGTTCACTCCGGTCTTTGGCTGAGCTCAGACCAGAGCCCCGGTCAGAGAATTAGTGTGCAGCTGGTGGTGGCCAGCGTGTGCTGCCCAGAGGCCCTTGATGCCTTCTCTTGCAGAGTAAACATAAAGTTAATGAGCAGCCAGGCTCCCTGCCCTCAGGGCACACTGTAGTTGAGGCTTCAAGGGAAGAAGTGGCCATGAATTATTTAAGGCAACTCGGAGCACTTGATTTTGTAGGAGAGAACTTTGAATAGAAGAGGCTTTGCTCTCTGCATTTGATCTTCCCAGTGAAGAGCCTGGAGCGTCTTTGACCCTGGGCGAAGGCTGGGCCTCTGGCAAGTTTGGGGTTTTGAAGAATCTTCTGGTGGTTCTCAACCTTGTTGGCATGTTAAAATCACCTAGGGAGCTGCAAAGTCCTGATGTTCAGACTGCACCCCTGACTCAGAACCTCTGGGCATAGGGCCCGGGCCACACATGAACCTCCTTGGGATTTCCGTGTGTAGTCAGGGTTGGGAATCACTAACCAAAGACCTTCACCCCTGCCTGTACCTTAGGAACACCTGGAGAGCTTTAAAAATCCCATGTCTAGCCTCACCTCAGGCCAATTAAATCCCAATCTGAGCTTTTTAAAAAGTTCCTTCCACGGCCGGGCACAGTGGCTCACACCTGTAATCCCAGCACTTTGGGAGGCCGAGGCGGGCAGATCACGAGGTCAGGAGATCGAGACCATCCTGGCTAACACGGTGAAACCCCGTCTCTACTAAAAATACAAAAAATTAGCCGGGCGTGGTGGTGGGCACCTGTAGTCCCAGCTAATCGGGAGGCTGAGGCAGGAGAATGGTGTGAACCCGGGAGGCGGAGCTTGCAGGGAGCCGAGATATGGCCACTGCACTCCAGCCTGGGCAACAGAGCGAGACTCCATCTCAAAAAAAAAAAGAAAAAAGAAAAAAAAGTTCCTTCCACAATTCTGTTGTGCACCTGGGGTCAGAAAACCACCAGGTTAGACCAGTGTCCAGCTGGGGTGGGCCTGGGAAGGTCAGACAGTTCAGACTGGGCACACCTCTGAGTGTCACGGCAGAAGACAAGAAGAACAGGGAGCGCTTTGGTCACTTTGGCCTCCTCTGGGCCAGTGCTCTAAGTACCTCATCTTCTTTAGCCCCCATCTTATAGATGATGAAACTGAGGGTCAGAAAGGCCCAAGGTCCAGATAGCAGCAGGTGTCAGAGCGAGGACACAAATACGGGTCCAACTCCAGATCCAGTGGGCTGGCCTCTGCTTACCAGCGGCCAAGTCACAGAGGGGCCTAGCTTGCCTGAAACCCCTCCCACGAGTGCTCAGATGGGGCTCCTGCAGGCGGCAAAGGAAGGAACAGCCAGTGCCAGGCACTGAGCCAGGCTTCGAATATCCTCTCCTTTAATCCTCACAACCGATCCAGGAATCATTATTCCCATTTTATAGATGAGCAAAGTGAGTCTTCAGTGAAGTGAAATAACTTGCCCAAAGTCATCTAGCTCCTAAATCACAGAGCTGAGATTCAAACCCAGGCCTCTCGCCACTCTGGGCTCACTGCCTATGGGTTAGCCCTGCTCTGCAAGGAACAGTACAAATATTTTTGTTAATACTTTAAAAAAATAAACCCTGGTCTTGCACCCCAGTTAGCTCCTTGCACCTCTGCTTGCTGTGATTTAAACCTTTTACCAGTCGTCTGCCAGCCTGCGCTGTCTTGTGTTTTGTTTTAAAAAGCCTTGTTTTTTATCTTTGCATCTGCGTGTCTCAGTTGTGTCTTCAAAGAGGCACTGGTTTATAATTTCCTCTTGACCGCAATTACTTAGCTTGGGGCCAACCCGCAGTGGAAATAACCTGTGGGAGGCGGTCTGGAAGGTGCAGATGCCAGCTCTGGTGTGTGGCATCCTGAGGTCTCCCTCAGATGTCTGTGTTCTCTCCAAAGTGTTGACAACTGGTGACTCTGACCCAGGTTTCTGAGCCCTGACACTCCTCCCCTGCGCCACACACTTAGTGACGCCGAGCAGCTGCCGGGGACATGGCTCTGCCCAGGAGCCAGGCCGGGCCCAGAGCAGACCCCCGCCTGCAGCCCGGCTGCTCTGCAGGTGTCCTCAGCACTCCCCCATGTGGAGCAGGTGCCCTGGCATGTCACATTGTCAACGTTTCTCCATCTGCCACTCAGTGTGGGTCCTGCAGCCAGCCCACCAGCCCTGGGCCCTGACAGGAGAGAAAAAAGAAAAAACAGACCCAGGAGTGAGCGAATGTTCCTTGAGCATCTCCTGTGTGTCGGGCACTGGCTGGAGGCTGCTGGTGGTGGCTTCTGCTGTCACACGGCACTCAGAGTCTGAGAGAGGGACAGATACACAACAGAAACATACGCCAAGTAGGAATGGCACCATGTAGAAGGGTGACGGGCCCATAGTAGTGGCAGTGGCAGTGCTGGTTTAAATTGCAGCATTCTCTCCAAAGAAGGGACATTCTGGAGGAGGTGGAGTTAGCAAGTCAGGGCTGGAGCATGCAGGGAGGAGGCACAGCACCAGCCAAGCCCCGAAGCAGGAAGAAAAATGCAGCCTTCAAGAATGTCACCTTTGCAGAGAGACTTTCCCAGACCTCACTCTGCAAAGTACAGCACTGCCCCCACCCCAGCTCTTTGTTTTGTTTTTTTTCTGTTTTTGTTTTTGAGACAGAGTCTCACTGTTTCCCAGGATGGAGTGCAGTTAGTAGAGATGGGTTTTTGCCATGTTGCCCAGGCTGGTTTCAAACTACTGGGCTTAAGTGATCCATCTACCTCAGCCTCCCAAAGTGTTGGGATTACAGGCATGAGCCACTGTGTCCAGCCCCTCCCCGCCTCCCCCTGCATTTTTTAATCTCATCCTCTCACTTTGTTTTATTCAAAATGCTGATCACAAATTGTACCTTTGGGCCAGGTGTGGTGACTCACACCTGTAATCCCAACACTTTGGGAGGCCTAGGTGGGTGGATCCCCTGAGGTCAGGAGTTCAAGACCAGCCTGGCCAACATAGTGAAACCCTGTCTTTACTAAAAATACAAAAAATTGCTGGGGGTGGTGGCACACGCCTATAATCCCAGCTACTTGGGAGGCTGAGGCACGAGAATGGTTTGAACCTGGGAGGCGGAGGTTGCAGTGAGCCAAGATGGTGCCACTGCACTTCAGCCTGGGTGACAGAGTCTAAGACTGTGTTTCAAAACAAAACAAATTGCACCTCTCGTGTACATTTGGTTTTGTTGGGAATTCCCTGCACTAATGGGTGAGCTCCCTGAGGCAGAGTCCAGGCTCCTCTCCAGCACACCTGTAGCCCCAGTACCTAGCATAGCACTGACACCAAGGAAATATTACATGGCTCCCGAAATATTGGAAGCCAGGAGGGTACATGAGTGAAAAGAGGCCAGTGTGGGTGAGGTAGGGTGTGAGAAGGGAGGGGCAGGAGACAGACTAGAGAGGAATCATAGGGGCCAGTGATTATTGGGGACTCGCTCTGTGCTGGGAAATAGGCCAAGCCCTGCAGGCATATCTCATTTAATTCTTACAACCCTTTGAGGCAGTTAATGCTCTTATTCCCAGTTTACACGTTAGGAAACTGAGGCACAGAGAGAACATACAACCTGCCCAGTGTCACACAGCGTGGAACTGGTGGAGATGGGATTTGAACCTGACGAGTCTGTGCCCCAGAGCCATGTCCGTAGCATCAGGTCCACCCTCAGGGTCCAGATCGTGGAGTCTTGGCGGCCTCTCTGGTCTTTTCACATAAGGGCACTTGGAAACCACTGCAGGTTCTAAGCAGGCAGATGATATGATCCGGTGTGTTAACTGCAGAGTACAGAGAGCCCCTGGAGAGTAGATTGGAGGGGTGAGAGTGGAGGCAGAGGCCTGGCAAGGGCCCCAGAGGACCCCAGCCATGGGCCAGGCCCCATCAGCCCATGGAGTCTGGTCTCAAGGCTGTGTGAGCAGCTTCCTTCCTCCCCTGGGTCCCCAGGGCTCCTGGGACTGACAGCAGTGTGACCCCCTCATGTCCCCGACATCCTAGAGTCTTTACAACAGCATCACCACCCTTCCCACCAAAAGGCATGGCCATCGGGTAGAGGAAGAAGCAGAGCTCTGGACAATGTGGGGTCTTGTTTCTAGGCTGGTGTGGCTGCATGGCCTGGGACAAGCTGCCCCTCCCATTTGTCTGTGTAGGGCGCCACAGCCCAGGTGCCTGGCTTACTGTAGGCATTAAATGAGGAAACATGTGACAAAATACCATAGAGAGCAGCTCTTAATTTTCTGCAGGTTCTTTTTGAGAAACTGAGAAGAATAGATGGACACTCTTCCCATAAAGATGCACATCCACTAAAAAGTGTTGGGTGCAGTTTTAAGGGCCTGGACCCCTGAAGCCCGTCCACAGGCCCGCTGGGTTTCTGGTTAAGATCAAACAGAGGACATAATGGAGGAGGAGGAGGAGGATCACCTTAAAATATTTTTTAATGTTTTTTAAAACGTGGAAGATTTTAAAGACTGAGAGACTTGCCCTGGGGAGCTGCCGTGTGTCTGAGCCTCCCAGTGAATAGCAGCCCCTCCTGTGCCCTGGCAGGCATCTTGACCAGCAGAAATCAGTGGGCCTCCTTTGCCTGGGATGGAGGGCTTGGCAGAGCTGCCCTTGCTACTGTCTCCAAAATGTTCATTTTCCATCCTTTCCCCCCCTTCTCTGTGCCCTCCCACGCCCCTTCTCCCTGCCCAATCCCCACCTTGCTCCCAGGCGATAGAGACCTACTTGCTGAATGTCTCTCCCGGGGGGCTGACCTACATCGCCGAGTGGCGAGGGGGGATTCTGGACCACAAGATGGGGCACCTGGCCTGTTTCTCCGGGGGCATGATCGCCCTTGGCGCCGAGGATGCCAAGGAAGAAAAGAGGGCCCACTACCGAGAGCTCGCAGCCCAGATCACCAAGACGTGCCACGAGTCATACGCCCGCTCAGGTAACCCTGCAAGGGGAAGGGGCAGCAGGAGAGACTGAGGCTAGACACCAGGAAGAACTGGAAAGACCAGCAGCAGTGAGTGAAGGGAGCACATGGCCTTAGGGAAGCCTCCCGTTGGAACTTAGGTAGAATTTGAGAGGTGCTGTCCAGGCTCCAAGACTGTACCCTGAATGAAAGGGAAACTAGTACAGACGCAGGAAGCGCTTTGCTTGTACCCGATGCTCTTCCGCCCTTGACACACATCATCACTGAACCTCACCACACAGATGAGGAAACTGAGGCTCAGAAATTACTTGGCCAAGGTCCCTTGAGAGGGGCACGGAGTAAAGGATCCTCCAGCTCTGGAGGCAGAAACGGCAGCTTCCTGAGCCCAGCACATGTCCCACCCTGGGTCCCATGCCTTCGAATGTGCTTCTGCCTTTCCCCCGGCACCCTCCTCAGAGGGGGTCTCACCACCTCCTGCTCCCACCTGTTTAGTCGCCCTCTTTCACCCGTGACCACCAGAAAGCCTGAGAGCTTGGTCCTCCCCACCCACCGCTCACCACTGAATTGTCAGATGCTAGAGTCAGAGGTCACATTTGAGAGCCTGAGCCTGGCTCCTCATTCTACACAGAGAAGCGGAGCCAGCCCAGAGGGGGAAGTGACTTAGCCAAAGTCACACTACAGATAAGGAATTGATCCTGGGCTGGAACCCGGGCCTTCTGATGCCTGCACCCCTCCGAAAAATCCCCAGCCCCTATGTGGTCCCAGGAGACACCCGCTGCTCCCAGTGGTAATCCCAGTGTTGGCTGGAGGGGACGAGCCAAGATTTGCAGTAAAAATCCCAGGCTCAAGCGCCGCTCTGCCACTGCCAGCTGGGCAGCCTCTGTTTTCTTATCTGTTCGATGGAAATAATGACACAGGTTTCAGAGTGAGGCACAGGGTCCCATGAGAAAGTACTTTGGCAGCCGCCTTCTGCCAGCAGCACTGCAGCCACTTGCTGACGCCACCGCGATGTGTCTGTGCCCGCCACAGCTGAATGGGGTCTCCTGGAGCTGTTTCCAGGAAGTCAGAGATTCGCAATGGGTCTTTAAAACTGGTCGTCCATTCTCTTCAAAGAGCTCACTCTGCCAGGGCCATAAACAAATAACAAATCTCAGGAATAATAAAAAGCTCACTATTTGTCTGAGACAATCAGCCCAGACCATAAAAGACAGCCGCTTAATAGAGCATATTGTTCCAGCCAGCCTCGGCTTGTCCCGTGGACGCCTGCAGCAGTGGCTCCTGCCTTCACCCCACTAGCGACTTGGCAAAACGACTGTTTTCTGATAGCCAGGAGCTGCTACGCCATTTGAAAAGAGTCGAGAGGCTAGGGTCTAGCTATTTCCTCTTCCCTGAAGCCCTCCATGGAAGAGTGGAAGTCCTGCAAACCTCTAGCCCCTGCCTCTAGAGTAAAAGCAACCCAGGGCCTCTCAAGGTTTTGAACCCTGGTGGGAGGGAAGAGGGCTCACATTAGGAATGGAGCTGGGGACTCGGGTGACCTGAACAGGAGGGACAGGCATTAAAGGTTGAAGGATCTGGCCCTCATACCCTACATGTTGGGCCTATGAGGGTTAGACCCAGGAGGGAAAGAGCACCACCCTAGGAGAGGCATCAGACACATCTAGGGTCAAGTCCCAGCTTAGCCACAACTCGCTGTGTTACCTTGGGCAAATTACTTAGCCTCTCTGATCCTCAGTTTCCGCCTGCGTGAGAGGGATAGTAGCAATTACCTTACTAAAGAACCATGTTTTAAGAATTGAAATAGTGTATTAAAGCACCCAGCACAGCCTTTGAAATCATAAGCGGTGACTGCAGAGGTGGTTACAATTATGGCCATACAACAAGAATGACAGCACATTGCCCCAAAACAAAACAGTGACAATAACAGAACCCAGGCTTCCTCGGGCTTTCCTTCCTCAGCTCCCTTTGTGGAAGTAGGTGCATTCCTGGGCAATCTTCCCTCCATTTCCACCTCAGCTGTTCCCAAACTCTAGAAGTTCTGGGAGGTGTTAAATGCAGTTTTCTAAGAGAAAGGGCCCCGTGGAGAAGCCTCATTGCATATTAGCATATTAAAGAATCTGATAAATCCTGCAGATGGGAGACTCACTTTGTTTAACCTTCGGTTCCCCAGGTGTGTTGAAACCCGAAACCCTCTTGGCTGAGGTCTGGCTAACCTCTTGCAGAGCTATTGCCTCATAGTACACAGTCGTGGAACCCCGCCCAAACCTTCACCTACCCAGACTGCTGAGTAGCTCATTTGGACTCTTGAGTCCAAAGCTACTCACATTTCGAGTCCCCGAGGGTCTTGTTTTGTCCAGCCCAGTTCAAGAGGGAAGCTGGGCATCTGCCCGGTGCAGCCTTATGCAGCAGTCCAGGCAGGGGCGCCCCACACCCACACACCCCTGACATCACCCTGGCCGTGGGCTCGAGGCAACTGACATCTCTCCTGGATCCCGAAAAGCAGGAGGTGGGAGGACTGACCTGGGCCCTCTGCTTGGCTGTTTCCCCAGACACCAAACTCGGGCCCGAGGCCTTCTGGTTTAACTCCGGCAGAGAGGCCATAGCCACCCAGCTGAGCGAGAGCTACTACATCCTCCGGCCAGAGGTGGTGGAGAGCTACATGTACCTGTGGCGACAGACCCACAACCCCATCTACAGGGAGTGGGGCTGGGAGGTGGTGCTGGTGAGTGGGCCCCAGGGATGGGCAGCCAGGTGCCAGATGCCCCCTGAGAATTCACAGACAGGCTGGGTGCTAGGTGCCCTGGCTTGGGCACGGAGTGGAAGTCCAAGCCACACTGACCTCTGGCCACAGTTCAGAGTGCAAAGGGTCAAGGTGATGGTTACAGAGCCAAGAGTTCCCAGCTGGGCAAAGTTGTCCTGAGACAGGACAGGACAGACTTGTGAAGAGGGTTCTAAGTGCCCATGGCCTTGGGGCCTGGGATCAGGCCTCAGTAAACTTAGAGGGTCAGAGGCTAGGCAGCTGCCTAGAGCACCACGTGGGCACCACGCGGCCACCACTGTCCCAACAGACGCTTTCTTGATCCCGAAGCTGGGCAGCTCACCTCCGCCTCCCTCCTCTTCCCACAGGCAGCCCAGCCCCAGGGATCCCCCACCCTAGTCTCTACTGGCCCTCGAGGCCTACCCTGCCCTCAGCACCCAGCCCCACACCTAGGTGGAAATTTAATGGCTGTCTTGGGGGAGGTGTCAAAGGCAGGTGTGGGGATTCCAGAAGGTTCCCTGGTGGATGCTGAGCCTTCTCTGCCCCTATCTCCCCAACCACCCCCATGCCCACTCCGAGCATTGCACTCAGACGGGGTCTGGGGCATGCTCAGGTTCACTGCCCTGTTAAGTTCACCTGCTTCCCCAGGACCATTGCTCTTGGCCTTCAAGCATCTTGTGCTCCTATGTCCAGTCCACAGACCCCTCAGTGGGTAGAAATTGTATTTATCAGCCTATAGGCAACATGGCAAAACCCCATCTATACAAAAAAATACAAAACTTAGCCAGGCATGGTGATGCACGCCTATAGTCTCAGCTACTTGAGGGGCTGAGGCAAGAGGACTGTTCGAACCCCAGAGGTTGAAGCTGCAGAGTGAGCTATGATCGCCCCACTGCCCTCCAGCCTGGGTGACAAAATGAGACTTTGTCTAAAAAAAAAAAAAAAAAAAAAAGCATTTATATAGAAAGATGAATGGCTTGGCCCACTCGCCTCCAGCCCAGGGGCCGTCTCTCCTGAGAATCCCTGGGGTGCCAAGTCCATCCCCAGATCCCAGCCCATGGCCATCACTTCTGCTTACCACTGTGGGTGAATCTGTGAGACCAGCCTAGTCCCCTGAAACACGAAGAGAAGCTTCCTCTAAGTTCAAACCAGGTGGAGAGCTCAGGACAGGCAGCCCATCGGGCCGGAGCTCTCAGAGGTGTGGGGGGAGGGAGTGTGGCCCCTCCAGCCTGGGGACAGGTGGCTAAACCCTGAAAGAATAATTTGATCTTCTATTCCCACAAATGCCAGGAGTCCCCAGCCAAGGGTTTGGGGTGCTGTTTGCTTTCTAGCTCCAGCCTGCCAGGCATGCACAAGTCTTGAGGGGCCTTTCCTGTCCCGTGTTAAGGCTGTTTTCTCCTCCTCTTCCCCTTCCTCAGGCCTTGGAGAAACACTGTCGGACAGAAGCCGGTTTCTCTGGGATCCAAGACGTGTACAGTAGCACCCCCAGCCACGACAACAAGCAGCAGAGCTTCTTTCTCGCGGAGACACTAAAGTGAGCAGCGTGGGCTTTTCCTAGGGATGGACAGGTGGGCGGTTGGGGGCGGGGGTCTGCAGTCCCTCCCTTCCACAGTCATGTTCTGTGGTCACAGGACGGGAGCCCAAGAGGGGTGAAGGGTTTGGGATCCAGAGGGCTGCACCCCAGGGGTGAGCCTTGGGCCAGGCCGTTTTCTTGGAGAGTGGGACTAGGCTAGAATCCAAGTTCCCCAGGGATGCACCGTGTGATACCGCAGGTTCCTTCAGTTTCCCACCTATCTCCGCAGGTTCCTTCAGTTTCCCACCTATCTCCGCAGGTTCCTTCAGTTTCCCACCTATCTCCGCAGGTTCCTTCAGTTTCCTACCCATTCCGCAGGTTCCTTCAGTTTCCCACCTATCTCCGCAGGTTCCTTCAGTTTCTCACCTATCTCCGCAGCTTGCTTCCATTCTGGGAACTCGAGTGTAAAATGGGATAGGATTAACGATGACGATGTCGGTGCTGGTTGCTGGCATTAACTTTCCCTCCTGTGGCCTCTGCAGTGTGGGTGCTGTGCCCCCCTCAATTTCTTGCCGTGGAAGTTGGCCACCCCGCTTCCTCGCTGTTCCCCAAAGCAAGCCCCTTGTGCTTTAACCGATTAGGGTGGGTCAGAATGATCCGCTCCTTCCAGCGGGGAAAAAACCCACAACCTGGAAGCTGCAGTTCTAGAGTCACAACCCCCTGTTCGTCTTAGTGCCCTAATGTGTGCTCTGAATGTAGAGTCTGCGGGCAGCAGTGGGGCACGTGGAGCAGCCCTCAGGCACCCCTGCAGAGGAGATCTGGGCCATAAGGGCTCACATACAGGGCCAGGCAGGTGAAGCCGGCTGATGGCAGAGCCAGGGTAAACTAAGTCCTTCTGACCTCAAAGCTCAAGGCTTTTCTCTGCATCCACAGCCTCCTTCCCCAGGACTAGCACCCCCACCCTGCCGCCCACAGTTTTGAGGTTTCAGGCTTCCTGACCTTGGTTACAGGCCCATCACAAAGGCCCTGAAACTTGTTCCTGGGCCCACCCTTCTTCCCCAGGCCACTGACAGACTGTGTCTTGCTTCCCTGCCCTGCCTGGGGCACAGGTATCTCTATCTTCTGTTCTCTGAAGATGACTTGCTCTCCCTGGAAGACTGGGTGTTCAACACCGAGGCCCACCCGCTCCCGGTGAATCACTCAGACAGCTCCGGCAGGGCCTGGGGCAGACACTGACCTCATCCCCCGCCGCCGCCCTGGGGCCACCGCAGGGATGCCTTGCCTTTTCAGGATTTGGGACTGTTTTCAAAGGGACTGGGAACGAAGGCCCCATCTCGGGCAGACCCCCAGCAGATGTGTCAGACAAGCAACTTCTTTTCCTCTGTGAGGAGACAAGACTTGGAGACGCAGCAATGTAAGGCCAGGGCCATGGCCACACTGGCCCACACATTCCTTTCTACAGAGAATTTCTATGAAGCCCTCTCACTTGCCATTCCAGGGCCAAAGACCGGAGGTTTGCAATCTGCCCCATGTATTTGATTTGCTTCCTTTTGGTTTCTCGGTTTTTGTTTTTGCTTGATTTTGTCTTTTCTCTATGGTTTAGTTTTATCACAATTATACATACAGTTTTCAGAATTATGCGCTTTCTAAAATGATGTCATCCTGATAAACAAAACCCAGTGTTTGCACATATACAAAATCTTGACCCCGTTATCTATATTTTAAATGCTTTTTGCCCAACACTGACCCTGCATTCAACTATGTGTCATTTACCTTATAATTTGAGGAGGGGATTCCCTTTGATTGGGCCTCAGTGTTACAAATCACTAGTGCTCTTTTCATTATTATTGTAATGAAAAAATCTGTGAACTAGAATAAAAGAGTTTATTGAATAAGAAATATGATTGGGCTCATTGCACATCAGTGACTCCTAGAAAAACCATTGCAATGTTACCATCAGAAAGAATAATCAGCCAGCAGTTGATTTAAGGTATAATTTAGTAAATGATTCCAACTTCTATTACCTCCCCTAAAATCAGTCCTGATATATTCAAGAAGTGTGGGGCCAGCCCTTCAGATGCAGTTGTTTATTTACACTCAGATTGAGATTGGGAAGAGGCCCAGGGAGGAGCAGCAACTTGCCTGAGGTCACACAGCCCAAAAAAGGCAGAGGAGAGTCTCGCCCCTGCCGTCTCCTGGCCACCCCAGTTGAGTGTCTGTTCCATCATTCAGCAGATGCTTGGTGAGTGCCTGCAACGGACCAGACACTGGGCTAGAGGCCAGGGACACCGCTGGGAGTGAGACAGTCATAAGCCCTGCAGTCTAGGGGTCAAGAGGGGAGACGGCGATGGTAAGGGAAACTGACAAGCAAGTGAAGTGACTGCAGGTCACAGGAAATGCTACAAAGGAGACAGATGGACAGCTGAGGACCTACCCTATGGGGTCAGGGAGGGCCTCTCTGGGCAGGTGACCTTCAAGCCAAGACCCAGAAGATACAAAGGAACGCAGAAGGACTATCTGGCAGAAGAACGAACCTCCCATAACCCAGCCCCCTTTCCCACCCCGCCCCCCCGATGCCCTCCCTGGGAGGGGGCCTGAAACACTATGGCTGTTGTGCAGAGCAAGGAGTTCAGGTCCTAACACTGAAGTGACAGCACTTCCTCCCCTGACACTTTTTGTTTGTTTGTTTTGAGACCCAGGGTCTCTTTTTTTTTTTTTTTTGAGTTGGAGTCTCGCTCTGTTGCCCGGGCTGGAGTGCAGTGGCCGGATCTCAGCTCACTGCAAGCTCCGCCTCCCTGGTTCACGCCATTCTCCTGCCTCAGCCTCCCGAGTAGCTGGGACTATAGGCGCCCGCCACCTCGCCTGGCTAATTTTTTGTATTTTTTAGTAGAGACGGGGTTTCACCGTGTTTGCCAGGATGGTCTCGATCTCCTGACCTTGTGATCCGCCCGACTCGGCCTCCCAAAGTGCTGGGATTACAGGCTTGAGCCACCGTGCCCGGCCCAGAGTTTCATTCTGTTGCCCAGGCTGGAGTGCAGTGGTGCGATCTTGGCTCACTGCCACCCCCACCTCCTGGGTTCAAGCAATTCTCCTGCTTCAGCTTCCCCAGTAGCAGGAATTACAGGTATGCGTCACCACACCCAGCTAATTTTTTGTATTTTTAGTAGAGACGAGGTTTTGCCATGTTGCCCAGGCTGGTCTTGAACCCCTGAGCTCAGGTGATCCGCCCACCTCAGCCTCCCAAAGTGCTGGGATTACAGGCATGAGCCACCACACCCAGCCCTTTCCTGGCATATTTGCAGCTTGTCAACACAGTGGAAGTCACGGGAGAATTTTGAGCCCTTCCCTGGGCTCAGCTGCTTACTCTGTTCATAAGCTTTAGTAGCTCCTGCCTGGGGCTCTGAGCCAGGTGACCTGGCTTTAAATCCCTGCTGTGTGAACTTAGGCAGGTACCTCCTCTCTCTGGGCTCTTTTCCATCAAGCAGACAGAAAACCTCAACCCCACAAGGTTGCTGTGAGAAGTGGGAAGCTGCTGGTACCCTGGGCACAGGAAGTGCTTGTTCCTGGTTCTGGAGACTCAGGACATTCCCAGAATCTCCTTAAGCAGAGCCGCTGGGGAGTAGCCCCTATGGCAAGTCACCATGCTCTTGATAGGCAGCATGAGAGCGTGACTCCCATGACCCACCTGTGCTCACTTTAAAAAAAAAAAAAAAGCAAACCAGGAAAACTGACTACACAAACATTGTAGAAAGATTAGAAAATAGAAGCAGAAAGAAGACGCATTGGCCATCCCACTCTCTGAGGTGAATACTGTTATATTTTCTTCTAGGCCTTTTTCTATGAATATATAGAATATATATTTTGCCAACGTGGTATCCTACTATGCACACTGTTTTCTTATAATCTGCTTTTGCACTTAACTATATATTGTGAACCTCTTTCCATGTCAACAAATACATGTTTATCTCATCGCTGTGCGTGCTTGTGGAGTATTCCATTGTGTACTGTAGCCTACTTTGCTGATCTAAGCCCCTGTTGCCAGGCATTTGGGTTTGTGTCCATCTGGGATTTTAGTTACAAATCACAGAAACCAATTCTGTCAACTTAAGCACAGAAAGGGATTTACTGAAATGTCATGGGGTGGCTTATGGAATCTTAAGAAGGAGTAAACAGTCAAACCTCAATAAGGGCTAGAAAGGACTTGGCCAGGGACGCTTCAAGAACCAGGGAAGCCTCTCTAGGCACCGCCATCAGGAGGGCTGAATCCAAATGTTTCCAGATCCTACTGTGGCTCCTTTCCATGTGGCCTGGCCTGGGTCTCATGCCCGCCCCTAGCCAAGGGCAGGGCCAGGCATCTTGGCTTGGCAGACCCCCTGAGATTACCCTGTGCAATGGGTGATGGGCTGTTCCCTAGAGAAAAACATGAGATTCATCACCAAAATAAGGGACCTGCAGGCTGCACAGGCAAAAACAGCAGGACTGTTTACAGTTTGATTTCTTCAGTATTATACAGAGAGTTATGAAGCGCATACTTAACCATCCTCCTTTTCACTTTTGTCCAATTATGTCCTCAGAATAACTTCTAGGATGTCTCTGTCTCAAAGCCACTTTGCAGTTCCCCAAGCCCCAGGCTCCCCCGCCAGGCCCGTGCGGCTGTCTCCCTCTCCTCTCCTGTCGTCTGCTGTATTGCTGGGAGGAAATTGTAAGAGCGAATATTTTAAAATGTATCCTCCAGGAGGGCCCTTGCAGGTGGAGAAATATCATCCTTTTGGCAACTTAACTCCATTCCATGGATAAAAATAAGTACGACTCAAGATAGGCCGAGAGGAAAGAGGAATTAAGGGATGACTCATCCTCACTAAAGGTAGGAGAGAGCTTCACAAGCCACAGAATCTGAACACCCAAACCTCTCCCTGAAGAGCCCTCTCCTTCCCCAGCTGGGGGTCAGTGCGCAGCTGCCAGGCTCATTTTAAGCCTTGTCTGTGCCCTCGCTGAGGATGGAAGTACCGATTGCACCTCCTTCCCTCATAGAAGGGCGTGATGTCGGCTCCTTCCCAGAAAGCTTCATCAACACCCAGCTCCTGGCACTGAGGTCTGCAGAGCCTCACGGCCCCGGGAAGGGGAAATGGGGGGCACAGTCCTTTTCTACGTGCCTCCCTTTAAATGACTGGCCATTTGGTCAGACTGGCCAAAGGCGTTGGGAAGAAAAGCAAAAATGGAAAATCTGATTTAAAGGCAGCATCCAAGATGTGATTCTCAGTTCCATTCCCTCTGCTTTGAGGAGGTGACCCCACTGTGGTTTGAGAAAGTGCCAGAGATGAATGGGCCAGCTTCCCCCAGCGTTTCCCCTGGGGGCCTGTCCTTGCAAGTATGGTCATTGGTCATGTGGCACAGAGATGCTCGGCCCTCTGTGACTAATGCTTAATTACACCCTACTGGAGGAGGGGGTGCTGATTCTATTTTTCGTATCTGAAAATATCAGTTTGGTTTCCTATATTTGGAGCACGATTTTGTTCCTGCTCAGCCTGTCTGTTAAGTCGGAGCTTCTCAAACTTGAACATGCACAGGAATCACCTGGGAGCTTGTTAAAATCCAGGTTCATGTTCAGCGGCTGTAGCATGGAGCCTGAGATTCTGCCTTTTTTTTTTTTTTTTTTTTTTCCCCGAGACAGGGTCTTGTTCTGTCACCCAGGCTGGAGTGTAGTGGGGCCATCACAGCTCACTGCAACCTCCATCTCTGGGGCTCGAGCAGTCCTTCCACCTGGGCTCCCGAATAGCTGAAACTACAGGTGTGTGCCGCCACATCCAGCTAATTTTTTTTTCTTGCTATGTTTCTCAAGTTGGTCTCAGACTCCTGGGCTCAAGCAATTCTTCCGCCTTAGCCTCCCAAAGTGCTAGGATGGCAGGCATGAGCCACTGTGCCCGGCCAGATTCTGCTTTTCTTTAACAAGCTCCCGGGAGATGCTGATGCTGCCAGTCCTCGGACCCCACTTTGAGTAGCAAGACCCCAGTTGGTGGCCACTGCCTTGGTTTCTGCCTTTTCTTTGCATTCCTGGAGCTGTAACTGCTCCAGAGTGGCGTAGAGGGGCTCTGGTGTTGGGATGGCATCTATAGATACTTTGAATGCAGAGCAACCTACCTTAAAACAGGTGTGCCTACCGCCTGTGTCAACAGCTCTCCTTTCTTCAGGACAGCCAGGATAAGACAGGAGCAGGCTGCTGGTGGCTTAGAACAGTGGCGTCCAGTAGGGTCACCCCATGTGGATCTGGAATACTTAAAATGTGGTGAGTGCAATGGAGGAACTAAACTTTTAACTTCATTTCCTTTTTTTTTTTTTTAATTGAGCAGAGTCTCGCTCCATCGCCAGGCTGGAGTGCAGTGGTGCAATCTCGGCTTACTGCAACTTCTGCCTCCTGGGTTCAACCGATTCTCCTGCCTCAGCCTCCCGAGTAGCTGGGACTATAGGCATGCACCACCACACCCAGCTAAATTTTTTTTTTTTTTTTTTTTTTGAGACAAAGTCTTGCTCTGTTGCCCAGGCTGGAGTGCAGTGGCTTGATCTCGGCTCACCGCAACCTCTGGCACCCGGGTTCAAGCGATTCTCCTGCCCAAGTAGCTGGGATTACAGGCGTGTGCCACCACGCCAGGCTAATTTTTGTATTTTTAGTAGAGACAGGGTTTCAGCATCTTGGCCAGGCTGGTCTTGAACTCCTGACCTCATGATCCACCCGTCTCGGCCTCCCAAAGTGCTGGGATTACAAGCGTGAGCCACCGCGCCCGGCCTACACCCAGCTAATTTTTGTATTTTTAGTTTCACCTTGTTGGCCAGGATGGTCTCGATCTCCTGACTTCGTGGTCCACCCACCTCAGGCTCCCAAAGTGCTGGGATTACAGGTGTGA